AGAGTTTACAATATTGGGATATAATAATGTAGGACGCGTTAATTAAATATTTGCGCAAATCAATATTTATTTCATAAGTATAAATTTAGTCAAATTACTTTTATAGTAAGAAATGAGACTCTCGACATTTCGAAGACTCGCATACTGAGCGCAGATTGTACAATTAATTATTGCATGATAAAGAGATATTCAATATTTGTAACATTTAGGTTATGACTATTTCGTGGCTAATAATCGGCATTATGTGGTATACGACACTGTCAGAACATAAGGTCTCGCAATTTCTGCTTGGCGATCTTCAAAAAACGATAATTCGAAAATTGCATACAATTATGGTATTGTGTACTGTTCGGGATTGATGCAGTCCCATGAATTTCAAACAAAAGAAAGGTCATACGCGCTGCCCAGTGTACAGCATGTGCGCCTAGACTGACCCGCACGTGCGGACCGGGACGCGCACTCGAGCGAATCTTTACAAACAAAACTCGGCAAGTCCGAGCAAGTTTACGACCCGAAATATAATATACTATAAGATCACCCAAGGGTGATTACTCTAGGTTCTAGATTTTTCCTTCGACGCCTCGTGTAAGAATTAGTGCAACAACGACGATGCCTTGTTGCCAACTAAGTGAGCCGCCACGTGGAGATATAAGACAAGCACGCGGCGTGCCTCGCTCTCTTGCTAAACATCTCTTGCCGAACCACCCTTGCTGAACTGCGCTTGCGGCTTGCCGTGACCCGACCGCAGTGACCGACCATAGTGAACCGATTTAATCATCTATCAGTAGAAGCCATATCACACGGGTCTCGATCTGCCCTCAGCAGGACCGCCATGGAACGGTCGGTATTTTCAGCAAAGCCGTCACGGAACGATCAAGCCTTCGGTTTTCGTGCGCGTATTCAAAAGGCTCATACGCTCATTGTAATCTCACTTCACGCTCACTAAAGTGTCATTGCCGCTCAGTGTTTTAGTATACTGTGAAGACGACGCGTGGCCATATAATCGGCATCATAGTTAAAAGTACTCGCGTGCATACGAAAAGGAAATCGGCAGAGTAGATAGTGATTACAGTGACGCCAATGGAATAGTAATCAAAGGGGACATTAATTACGCAGCAATCAACACACCTTGTCAGCAGTTTACAAGGTACCTCTTTTATATTAATAAATAAACAAGTCACATCTCGCACTAAAGTCGATCGGGCACCCTTACGCTCTCTCGAACTAACCACTCGACATCGTACAGGCCCTCAACAGCTGATGCAAGAGTCACTGTGGTTCACACACATTACCAAAGAAGGACAACAACAGATCGACTAATAGACTATAAATACAGATTATTGAATCCTTCAAGAGTTAGAAATCTTACCATTAATCACTCTCACCTGTGACTAGATTCTTCTACTGTCCCCTTACATAATTAAAGACACAATTGATTACTTAATAAATTCCATTAAACATCTTACACCATATCAAGTATAGTTATTCATACATCAAGCATACTTGATTCAAACACCATTTTCTCATGCTATGATCTCCTCATCTCCTCATGAGCATGATTGACGGACTACACCAGCTGATATTTATAACATCAGCATTACCTTAACTTCAAGATACTTAGTCATATCCATAGCATCTACAATAATTCAAGAATACAAGAATGCACCCTCACTACTTCAATAGAATTATTTCTCTCTACATCAAAGTGCAATATTGTTATAATTATTTACATTAATAAACATTGTTTTTACTAAATACACGATATTTTTCAGCCTTGTCTGTTATTGTTTCCTTTGAAGTTATCCTGCCGAGACACTAATCCACTGAACTATTGAATTGGTAGTTCGAGCCATAAACTAAACCTTTAAAATCGAGCATGTATTATTATAATAGTCGATATAGCTGTATTATAAGGCATACAAGCCCATACGCGCACACGCGCGCGCATATATATATATATATATATATATATTCGTAAGAGTAGTGAATTTTCTGTTCCTTAATAGAATGTAATAATGTCAGTTACAATATGTTTAGAAACGTAGATTAGAGAAACATTTCGAATGAAACGTAATGCTAAATAATGTGCATATAGTAATGTAATACATACTTTAGAAGGGAAGATATTATTCACTTTCTTCGAGTGATCTTTATGATTAATTGTAAAAGAAAAACATGTATTAGTATAAAAAACAGATATTCCTTATAAAATTATGGTATGTAATTTTGCATCTTAAATATATATATATATATATATATATATCATTTATGAAGAATGTTCGTCTAAAATACATTACGAATGTTCCGAATTACAAAGGGAAAAAATTAAAGAAAGAAACTTCCAGGACTTACCAGGCGATTAGTACAAAGTAATATCTTCCGATAGTCATAGACTTAGTCACGTAATGTCTTATCTTGAACAATTTTCCTAAATAATATTCGAGAGAGATGACTTGTAAAATCGATATTTACCTCCATTGAAATACACTATCTTCCAAAATATAGCCGTAAGCCTGGGCTTATTTATTTCTCCTAGGAATATCGAGTAAAGAGTAATGGCTGCTCTTGTAGATGACTCGGGCTATCTCTAAAAAATGCATGTAGTGAAATGGAGGAAAGCATTTGCTCATAAACTCGCACAAATAGTAATAATAATATTATTGAAAATATGCCAAAATATATAGACAATGGACGGACCGATAGCGGCTTTTCATAAATTTTCTTACGATTTTAGTGAAATTTTTATATGTTACAGATAACGAAGTTCCCCTTTTATATGTGCTTGTGCTCGATGTAAGATTAAAAACAATCGGTTGCGTGCCTGTGCTTGTGTGTGCGTGTGAGTCATTACGGGATACCGATATTTTACCATCTCCTGAAATGTTTTATAACATCGAAACGGTTCGAATAACATACGTCAAAAGATTTCCCTATCAGACCGAATGCGATAAGTTAATCTCCGTTTATCAAAACTGGCAAAAGCATTGCGGAACGATGCGCGAGGGACGGGAATAATGCTGTATCGCCAATTGTTCGCAATGCACTTGCTCGGCATAAGGGGCCAGTAAGGCCTCGCACGCACATATAACCGAGGAACTCTGCTCGTTAACATAATGCTTGAAGCACGAGGAGTGGATTGTACGAGGCTCCGTTTTATGTGTCGCGCAGTTCTTCGCAAACTCCTTAAACTCCTCTCGCTTAATGGCAGGGAGATGGTAAGGATAGCATTTGCGACTGCATTTGGATTTTCCAGGAACGTTAAACCATATCTCGACACTCTCGGCAATATATTCTTTAGCGACCGAGTGCCTTTAAAAACGTCGTTATAAATAATGCCTTTTGCATTAAGTGATTTTTCTCGGGCATGGACGCAGCTACGCTCATGATGACACCCGTTAACTGGTTGACGAGAGAGTACGTGGATAAAAGGGGATTGGGGAGCTCGTCGAAGCTCTCACCATTACTACATATTAACGGCACTTTATAAATATTGAAATGGCCTACGTGGAACAATACCTATCCTGCGTTTTATTTTAACAAATTTCTTTCAATTTTTATTTAAAAACAACGACGATTACCATATTACTGCTGCTTGATGTGATTCATTCGTCGGGATATTGAATTTATGAGTTGACAATATTCACTTTGCGTCGAATGATAATAAATTAATTTACACGTTTCGTCATAGCTCATGACGAAATTATTATATTAAGATTAATTTACTCGATAATCCGTTGCTTGTGATATTACGAAAACTCGAGTTTCGGAGATTTTTTTCAAGGTGTAATTTATTTGTCTTTATTGTCTTTATTGTCTTTATTGTCTTTATATACGCCGAAAATTAAATACTCGTGAGTTCATTATCTCTCGAGTGCTTAATTACTGCCAATTTTCATTGATCTAATGGTACTTGAGGCCGGATGCATCAGTCCTAAGATCTAATAATAAAACATTCTTGCTGGTTTTCATTATTCTTTGCTCGGCAAATATCACCATCTCCGTAGATTTTGTCTTTGTCCACGTGCTCAACATGTTTTTCGAAAATCATTCCTTATTTTAACGAGAATGACCAATTGAAAATTTATCGCTTATAATTTAACAATAAGAAATAACTTACCATATATTCGATTGTGATGTCATGTAGCGTTTCATTAATTTATATTTCATCGATTCATAATATCTATAAGATATAAGCATATATATATATATATATATTTGAGAAATATAATTTCTGAGAAATACCGTATACAGGTTCAACGAACTTATTTTTTCGATTTATTAACTAAGAAAATTTACATACTTTTACTTCAAAAATATATGGTAAGATTTTGACGTGTCGCTTAAGTATTTATAAATAGTTCAACTTGGTATTCGTTTCACATAAAGCAAACGATTGTGTGCGTTAAAACATTATTGAATATTGAAATGTTATCGCAACTGAAAATTCATGCTGACGGTAATTGTAAGCATTATTTACGTCATAAGCACAAATGTTAACATTCGTTGGCAAAAGCATTAATATTAAGCCGATCCTGAGATTAAGAGAGAACGATCACGAGTATTATTGATATGGCAGAGGAATAACCGTAGGATCCATTATACACTTGTTGACACAAGCAAACCCTGTCTACTCTCATCGATGTACTCGATACCTCGAAAACTCGAACGCGAAATTAAGTGAGATAACATCAGGATGCAGGGCTCACGTGCATAATCAAATAACCATTTTTCATCAACAATCAACAAGAATATACCGTTTTTCATTGGATAGTTATTGATTTAATTACAAAAAACTTTACTATAAAACTTTGTTGTGCTTTTAATAGAAAGACAATGGCTATGATTGCTATAAAGGTATATACTTTTAACGTATAAAAAATGTGAATTTGCAATAATTGTCATTGATTTATTATTCCTAGAACAAATTTGTTATATGAGAGTAATTTTAATTCGTATTCATTGTACATTCGTATCGATTGCAGGAAAATATATTCATCACAATGCCAGGTGAGTTTTAATGAATTTTTTAAATTAAAATATAAGAGATGAACTATAAATTTCATCTCGTTATCATTGCATATGCATCCTACATATATAATTATATGTTTATTATTTATAAATGATAAAATTTCACCAAGAATAAGAGCGATGTAAAAAAATTATCCCATCAATACGTAAATATTGAAGTATTATAGCCGAATTTAGTACATTGATTAGTGAAGAAATATTATATCTAATTAATTTAAATTATTAGAACGTGTCTATTCTGAATTATGAAAATCTAAAGCATCGTTCATTCACACATCCATCCAAACAGCAAATATTATTTTTTCTAATAGTCTTATATCATTTAATCTATATCAGCCGGCATCGGCAGTTATATTTGACTCATTAAAATGAAATGTTTAATACGATGAAATTGGCTTCTGTTTAAAAAATTAATTTGGTCAAATATTCTCGTGTGGATAAATTTTTATGACTTGGGTATAGAGTAGATTATTACAAATAGAGTGCCTAGAACATTATTATAGACTTTATATTACGAAGTTACAAGCTCAGTTTTTGCCTTTGATTATTCCTTATTTAGCTTCAACACGGATGTCATGTAACATTGCCAACGGGATTTTAGTTAACAAAAAAGAAATAAGTTTGCACGTATAGGCATCTTATGACATGATAAAATTAGTAGAGCAGATCCCCTTTAGGCTTAATATCTGTAAGAAATTAAAATTAAATATCCCTTTGATTTGCCTTGACAAATTAATTTCCACCCTTTGCTTAATCCCCTCGCTATTAATATATAAAGAGACACGTTATGACATATTAATGATCCATCGCTATTTTACTAGTATTAATTGCAATGATATATTCATTTCCCAAAATGCATTAACAAAAAAAAAATCATTTCGATCCTTTTATCGCCATTCGGTGCAATATTATGTAAACCTTCGGCCGTTTCCTCAAAAAAAAAAAAAAAAAATAAATAAAAAAAAATAAAAAAATTTTAATAACTCATATTTAAGATGTTTTTTAAATACTTGCGAGAAACATGTATTTATAAAATCAAAAATTTTCATCGCCTTTACAAATCCCTTTATAAATAGCCGCGTATGGGAGACTAATTATTGCAAATATACATACTATACATAGATAAAAAATTATATATACATAATTAATGTTTCTTATTCCCTGCCTTTATTAATCTTCTCAATCTTCTTTATTAATCTTTCTCTCTATATAATATTGTTTAAATTAACATGCATGACATTAATAAACAATGAAAATATTGACATTTAATTTTATTGGGCATATATTATGTCAACTGTTAAATTTGTTTCAACGAGCTACGTATTTATACGTGTATACATAGTTTGTACATACGTAAAGCCATAATCGTTATTAAGTTTGCTAAATTTTCAGTTTTCTCTTGAAATTAATTTATATAATATGATGAAAGAACGGTGTAATTAAAAAGAAATGCATAGGATTCTTAATGCATTTTAAACGTTTGCTCTGGTGAAATTATTTTGTATTTATATGATATAATTTTTGCTGGTAGAATTGTGATTTTTTTATATAATATTCAATATAGGAGATAAATTAATGCGTGAATATGCATTGTTTGCTCATCCATTTTAAACAATTATCGAATGTTTTCAAGTCTCATAAATATAAAATAAATATTAAATCAATCTATTTTTATAATCATATATAATCATATTTAATTCAAATGTTCAGTTTGCTTAATCAAAGTCTTAATATTAATCAGTTAATCTAAAATACTATTTAATTGAAAAATATTATTTTTTTATACTTACGTATTGTTGGAGTTCATCTCTCGTTTCAGTAAAAACTCAATGCTCTAGAGTCATTGTCTGTATAAGTAGATTGCCGTAATTAATAATGCAAATTGTTAAGTGCACGCTTCTCTTTATTATAATATTGTAAGGAAATTAATTGTATATACTATTCTATGCGACTGATATGAAATGAAGGCAAATGGCGCAAGCAAGAAAGCAAAAAGATTCTCATCTATTCTCTACTAGCCGTTGTATAGTCGATCTCACCGACTTCCTTCATGTCATCGTTAAGATGTATATGTGATCGTGACATGACAATTTTATACAAATTATAACAAATGATAAGTGCAATACTGAAATACGTGCCGACATAGTATACAATAGACACTATAAATTTTTATAAATCAGTAAATCGTTCTATTTGTTCAACTTATTACTTAATGCGGTGTTAACAATCTGCAATATGATATAATTAAAGAATTAAAGATTTTATGAATTGAGAAAATTAACTTTAATAGAAAATACAATTAATGAATAATAAGGGATAGTTTATTTAACAGCATTTAAATTAATGTTGACCTCTCTATATTGCGACTCTAGATTTTATCATATTTCTACTTGCTATCTCACTCTCTTATCGTAAATTTATACATTTGTATGAAATTAAGAAGTATGTGTATGAAATTATGAAAAGTAAGCCCGAAATTTTGAAAAGTATGAAAAAGCACAGCACCAGATATTTATGTCGTGCATACTTTATATGAAATTTTTATTTTAGGTTAATAGAAGCTTTTGGTTATATTATTTCGTCATTTTGTTAAACAATAGACTGTTTTACATCCTTGTAACGTATGACTTCTTTTATTAAATGTATGATAAATAATAAAATGTATGACTTATTTTATTACGTAAGAGAAAAAAAATATATGCCCTGCATTTATGGTCGATTAAATAAGATAAGAATATACGGACATTTATTACATTATATATTAATGAAATATGTTTATAAAAAGTATCCTTATATTATATGAAAATAATAATAAATCATAAATATATTTCATAATTTTTAATAATTTATTTTTTATATTAAAAAGACGTTTATGTATATAGTGCAAAAGAAATTATGAGTCATTTATGTAGAAAAATATAAGTAAACGTAAAACTGCATTATATTCATTATTTTGACAATTAAAAAAGCTTATTTAAAATAAAAGTCCTTTCTTTATTTATGATTTTCATAAACATTTGAGAGCGAATTTAATTATATTCCATTTCTATAAACTGTCACAATATCTTCAATTATATATACATTTTTAGTTTTGCACATGTAATATTAAATGCCGTGTATAGTCATATGTTAATATTAGTATATTATTAGTAAAGCAGTATTAATAGAAAAGAAATAATAAATCTATATTAATATCAACAAATATACATTCGGAAAATGTGATACGAGGCTAATACGACAAAGCCAGATTATCTTCGCAAATGAGCATAATTCGTTGCCAATTCATGCCATCCTTTCATTTAGCTTTGACACTACAGCAAATGCAGCGAATGAATTATGAATATTTCTTTACTGAATATAAAGTAAGTACTTGTGTATAGGCACTTTATTATTGATAATTGTGACCATTATTACTGAAAAATGTTACAATTGCCGCCCCATTTAAAAGAAAAAAAGAGTTGATAGTGAGTCTTGCTTTTACGACTACTTAAAATTTTGTTTCAGTCTTGAATTTTTCCTAATATTCAAATATTTAAACAATTTGAATTTATTACTGTAATATTTTACCCAAAATATTATTACGTACGATATGAGGATTTTTATTTTATATTATATTTTATTACGTATCAATTATAATATATACGATAAGCAGGTACATGAAGCAACCTTTGTGTTGCTTGAAGATTTTACTATTAAAAGTTGGTAATAATTAAAATAATTACGTCGTCAGTTTTGTTTTTTATTTTTGTTTTAAATTTCTTTAGAATATTTCTCGAAGGCATTTATATATATATATGTAAAATATATTGTGTACAGTCGAAGCTTTATTTTATTTTACCCTATATTATTATTCAAATAAAGATTAAAGCATTTCATGGATTTAAAATTTTCTTATACTTTAATATTAAGCGATGACGCATACCTAAAGATTAAAAAATATAAATGATTCAATATAAAAATTAACTTAAAATTTACGTACACAGTTAACATTAACCTTAATTAAAGTCAAATATAAATAATTTCTTTCTTCAATCAACATTTCAGTCTACAAATATACACACGTAATAGCTTGCACACACATGCGCACGAATTTTTATATATTAATAATATAAAATTATTATAATTTATTATCATATAAATTAATTATTATAAAAGTATTAAAATAATTAAACGAACAACCTAAATTTATGCATTTTAATTAACTACAACTTAAATAAAATATATTTTCTTCCATTACTTTGTATATATTATATATGGTTTTTGAAAATATTTTTTCAAAATTTCAGTTAAATAGTAATTTACTAAATGTATATAAAACATTTAGAAAGAAAATACTACGTACAAATACGGTTTTTAATCTTAATTAAAAACAGGGTATTTTTGTAGATGTAACGAAAAAAATATCGTATTGTAAAAATTAATAAACGAATCCTTTGGGAATTTGGCATATTGTTTGGCATAGTTCTTAAACTTTGATTAAATGGGACTTTCTTATTTCGTTTTACCTTCTTGTGCAAGGATGTTGCAATTATAACTGTTACTTTGCTATTTTAACAGAAAGACTTGCGAATCCAATAAACATTGCTAATAATTTTGACCATTGTTAGAATTTAAACAAAAGGTAAGCATAAGATATTTAATTATCTCCTACAGTACTTACATTATTAAGCAATAACTTAAGGTGCTACACGCAATCGAGCAAAGTCAATCACAAAAATATAAGATCATAAAAAATTGATCATTATCATGAATACGTAAAATGCATTTTTCAAAATTTCATCTTGCGCCCAAGATATTCCCACTGTCAGTGATTACATAATTTTCCTTCGTAACAGCATCTGCATAATCCTTAAGAATGTCATGTTCTTTGATATTAAAAAGACCGTAGACTTTTACTGCCTTCGGTATATAATATTATTCTATTTCACCTAATCTATCGAAGAAATGCAGAACTAGGAGGAGGCATAGAAAGAGCTGAGAAAAACCAAAATCTTTACAGACTCGTCGGATCGAGGCACAAAGAAGTTCAGCGACGATTGTAAGGATGATCGTGAATGTGGTTTCGACGGCTCTTACTGTGACCCCAAGGTAAAGAAGTGCCTCTGCAGAGATGAATTTCGCGCGACCAATCACATTGATAAATGTGGACATGGTGAGTTTTTTTTGCAATACTATTCTCTTCACTTTTCTTAGTTTATAATCTTAGTATCACTTATAAAAATTATGTCTGTCTTCGTATGAAAGAGAGGTAGTTCAAACGATTGATGTAGTGGTGAATGGCTGATAATTTGTCGTAAACATCTTTATTATAATATTAAAATCTAATTGACGTTCCCTTTATTTCAAATTTTTTCAACGAGCTTACTTGTCTAGAGGGAAAGCTATCTGCATTTTTCAAATATCCAGATTAATAATTCCACACAGAAATATTTCATCGTATCTTATAATATATAAATATAAGATAAAATATTTTAACGGCAACATAACGAAAATAATAAATATCTGTAATATTATCCATATTATCCTTGCTAATATTATCGAATTAATCAATAGAATTCTTTGAAAGTTATCTCTTTTACACAAAAATGCAAAATAAATGCGCAAAATGTTTATTTCATCGATTTTTTTTTCTTTTTTGGTTATTTAGGGACTAAAACTCTAAATCAATAAGATTATGTGCTCTCTTCGTAAATAAGATTCATGAGCACAAGATTTGCATCAATTCAAAAAGAACATTTTTTTTTTTAATCTTATCTTACCGTCGCGCTTATTTTATTCCTTCACTAAAAGTGAATAGTAAAAACAATAGTAATAGCTCTATAACAAAGAAATACGCTACACTTTACATATCATATGCGACAACTACCTAGACGAAAATAATATACTTTTCGATTGCGTGACTCAAACTCTACATTTTTACTCGATGCTCAATTGCAGGACTTTCTTTTGTGTGTATTGTTTCATCTAGTAAAATATGAAATGAACGTGCGAGGTAGTTCGCAAGGATTTCCAACATAATAATTAAGATTTTGCAGGTCAATCGATTGTAATTAAAGTCTCTCACGCACCGACGAAGAATGTACCGAACATCAATTCCATGCTACATTTCCTTGTCATCTTATCCATCAATTCATTATTATTTGTCTCACATAGCTTATGTTTTACGTGATAGGACGATGATGATGATAGAAAGATGTATTGAAGTTTGTCTCTGTTACTTGGATTAATGTTGTATTTGTATTCATTCCGATATATACGTGACAAAATGAAAATTATCTATATTATTATTAAACTAATTACTTGATTGAATTGAAGTGACTATACTGTAATAATAGTAAAAAAAACAGGACAATATATATATATATATATATATATATATATATTATTATTATTATATTATATATATTATTTTTTATTTTATTACACAAGGACGGTAAAAGCTTTTAAGTTAAGCAATCAAGTGTAAGATTTAAATACCTAAGGCTATAATTTTATGTTTAATAATTTTTACAATTGAACAATTTTTATTTTTAATTTCAATTCAATTTACACCTTTTATAAAATCACAAAACACATTTTCCAAGCAATTTTTTTGTTCGCTGAATTCGTCATCTATTCACTTTACAATTTCATTTGTTCGTCATTATCATTGTCTCATACACAAAAGCATTTAATGAATAAGTTTATATAATTTACGGTCATAATACAAAAACGATACATTTTCTGCTGGCATTGATTAATCTTAATATCCTATTCATCGTTCGCTCTTTCTATTTTCCCTGACTTTGTGTAATTTTAGTGGCAATTTCCATACTTTCTTAATTATTTTCCTCCCATATTTATAGCTACTAATTAGATCATTTTATTTTACGATTACTAATGATAATCTGTTGTATTTTTCTATGCCTATTATTTTTCATGATTTTTCTCTGTCATTTCTCTCGCACTTTGTTTCTATTTATTTTTTATTTTTTTATTTTTCTTTCATGGTTTATTACTTCTCGCTTTATTTTTCGTCAGTTTCTTTGACCTCTTGATAGTCTAATTTTTCGAGCTTTTCCCATAACTGTTAAGAGATAATAAATGCCTAGGTTTCTTGAAAAGCTAAGGTGTCCGCATTACTATTATATAAAGAATGGTCGATGTAGCACAGCAGCTATGCCAAGAATTCTGATAAAGGCGACAAGAGAACTCCATTTGCGACTCCACCTTGACGGGTCTTGACATCCCTTATCTCTGCTTCAATTTTCAATTTCAGTAAGAACGTGTAGGCATTCGAGAGTATTAAATGTGTAAAAATTTATATCGATATTCAAATGTATGTCATTTACCTTCATTGATCTCGTGAATTTTAATGTGATTGTATAATATTATGGAACAATTAATTAATAAATAATCCCATCTTCGCTATTAATTTATCATGTGTTTAATTATAATGATTTAATTATGTTTTAATAACTTTTAAATTATAATTATATAGCAAAAAGATATTTTCAGTTACAAATTCATCATTTTAATGGTGATATTAAATATTGTAAAATTATATAGTGCATTCTATATTTCATAAAATATATATTTATAAAATCAATTTATAAATATATATAATAAGCTATTTTTCACTTAAATGAATATGGTTAATACATATTTATTTTTTTGACGAAATAAAAAATTCTATTTATGACTTAACTCGAGTTTAAATTTAAAGTTAATAACCAGCAATAAAGATATTGTGATTATTTACTTCATAGTATTTCTACTTGTATGACATACACAATATTTTGAGCAAGCGTGTACGTAAGTAATTAGCGGCTTCGAGATTAGCTTTTATTAAAGTGATATATAGTTTTAACATTTTCACTACTGAATTGCCGTAGTTAACTGAACAAACAAATATGAATCGCTTAAAACATTTAATTATTTTAGTCCAAATAGGAAAATCTTGATAAAATATTAACCGCAGTTTATGTTTATACGTGGAAAGTGATAGTAGTGTATCGTAATCGTATTTATTAAAAGGGAAATAAGAATAACTATCACTATTTTATTATACAGTGCAAAATAAATTCCAACTAACTAATATTTAATGTGAATTATAATTTATTTTATAGTAAATGAAACGTCGTGTTAAACAAAATGCTACAGCAAATTTAAATGGCAATATAAAGGGATTTGTATGATAATTTTATTACTTCAAATAAACTAGATTACTAATCTTCCAACATAAAATTTTACACATTTATTACAATTTACAATTTATACGCTTAATTTACATTCTTAGATTTAGTCATGTATTTGACCAGTGAAAGGTGTTATAAATATAAATTAATTTTCAATAATGTCTAGGTCTTCTAATACTAATAAAAATTATAGTATCTGAATACTGACAATTTTTTTATACCATTCAGCATACAAAATTATAAATAATTATATTTTATTCGAATTAATTAATTTTGAATTCATTTTGAAATCAAATTGTCATTTGATCATAATCAAATTGTATTATCATCAATATTTTTGTGTCAATAACAGTCCTAAAAAGTAGTATTCTTAATATCTATGTTAAGATTCTTTAAACGTTCGAGTAAAAAAATTACTTGAAGTAAACTTTAAAATTATATAATTGAAATATTTAAAAAACTAAATGACAAAACACTTTATAATCAGTTTAGAAATAAATATCGCTAATCTCATGAAGGCAGTTACTTTTATCGAAAAGAGACTCTAATATAAATATTATATTATTTATTTTAAGTAACTTATTTAAATAAACCAATATTACAATTGATATAAGTAAGAATTATGTTATATCCTGTGGAGAACTGGTTCTTAGTATCATATAATTTAGTATATATGTGTGTTTGATCATGCACCAGTTAACTTGTTACCTGAATTAATTAGATCAGAAAATGTAATTATCATATTGATTACAGAATCAAATTATTGTTTGATGAATTATGATGCAAAATACCAATAATAATCGCTTAGTAAATTGATAATATCATTGTTAGTAATATATTTATATTAATTTTTAATAAGTCTTGAAACGACATATATAATTGTTAACGTTGAATAATTTAATTATATATACATATTGAATAGAAATATAATTAATTATTTCCATATATATATATATGTACACTAACTTCTTATTATTCACAAGTTAATGCGTTATTTCATACTATTTTACAGTCTTTCTATAAAATGTTTAACATTGTGATATTCTGAAAATATTTTCATCCAAAGATCATATAAAATTTAGATATTTTTTATCATAAATGTAAAATAAAATTGAAATATATGCATTAGAAATATAAGATCATTTTTAACTTTAAAACTACGCTAAAGTGTTTTTGAATTGAGAATAAGTAAAAGTATTTTACATGATTAATTACCAATTATAACTCGAAAAGAATACGATATATTATATCGTAATTTAAATTTTATGAGGCATATACTTTGCAATTTTTTTCATCTCCTCTATATTTATATATATATAGTTTTTTATATAGTATTTGTTTAGTATTTCGTACAATTTTCGAAGAATGAATGACTAAATAAAAAAAAAGAATAATAAAATATGTGAATAAATAGAATTATGCAATATCAACATAAAAATGAAAAAAAATGAATTCTGTCTCCCTCGATTACGTAGAATTTGTGTTTATTACAGGCATAAGTCGTTGCAATACTCATATTTTATGAACTAAACAATATGTATATATACAAACGTGAATTTTCAATAAATAATATATTTTAAAAAATTCCATTATTTCTTACATTTTATTTCTTATTAATGAACGTAATTATATATTTATATTTTATAAAATCTGCATTAATTTCGTGTTTTGAAAATATTTTTAGCAACAGTCTTACAATGTCTAATGTGAACTGTATTAATATATTTTTACTTTTATCGATATTATTAATTTTTACGTTGAGTTAAAATATTTAATAAATGCTTAGTTAAACAAATATTAGATGTTCATATTTATTTCATTATTAGTTTCTAGTTTTATTAAATAAAAGGACGATTTTAAAAATTAGCTTTAAATTTAAATATATTTTAAAGAAGATTGTATTTAATGGTTACATTTGTCGGGCTGTTAGGAATTTTTTTTTTATCACTTTGATAATACAATATCAATAGTTGATTATGTTTTTTTTTCTCTGCCGTTGTTTTATGTATATAATATGCCGTTTTAATGATCTTCCGATTGTATTTCGTTTTGAACTTATTCAACATTTCTACAATATCTCTTATTTATTAACAATAATGCCATCGAATATAACTGTGAATGCATTGATTTACAGTACTATAAACTTTTGTAAACTGCATTTGAAAATTAAATTATTAGATTTAGAAAAGCTTATGATTGTGCTGCCATTTTTACTATTAGTATTTATGAAAACTGTCTTGTTCTTCTGCATCTTCTTCTACTTGCTTAACTTACTTTCTCTTTAATATTCTCCATTGAAGTTGTCGAATAAAATATCTTTTAATTGTATAAACGCGTATTACTTACTTCTTAATCTTATTTTCTCCTCGCATTCTTTTAATAAGTTATTAAAATAATAACTATTTACATCTAAATTTCGATACTATTGATTTTTTACATAAAAATAAATGCTTTATTACTGAGTAATTAATCCTCGCGTTCTTTTATAAGTGGTATAATTTTATGAATAAAAAAAATTTATAGAAAATTGAATTTACTGAACTTTTAGAATGCCTAATTTCAATATTATGACTCTTCGTCTCGTTTACGCAGATCTAATTAGCACCATTAAATAGCTAACTATTGTTATCCAAATTAATAATTATTCAATGTATCGCTTCATCTATTATATCCAAAAAAAAAGAAAAAATTGTAGCAGTTATTTTTTTTTACTATTACGGCAATCACATAAATATGGCAGTATGTATTTTTTCAATAATTTAATAAATTAGTAATGAAATTTACGAAATCAGGTGACATATGTGTAAAAGCAGTTTAATGAAGGATCACTTAGAAAACACAACGCCACCAATACTTAATTACAATTGAATTAAACATACGTGAAAAATTTTGCCAATAAAGCACCCTATTAATCACGAGAGTCATGTTCCTTGTCTATCCGTATAATTCCTTGTACGCGTAATCGCCCAACGACGAAGATTTAATACAGCGAGGAAGCGAATGAGACTGTAAAAATACGCTGGTGATACTTAGCTACTTTCTTTAAATCGATAAAGCCGACGTCACGTAGTAAATATTTTATCAACCAACAAACAAGCAGTGGTCCCGTAAGCTCTATTATCCCATATTCGCTTATGTTATCTCTCTTGCAGCGGCGAATATAAACGAGTCGTGCTTCTTCACGGAGCAGTGTGAAGTGCAAACGGCCCAAACCGAATGCCGGGACGGACGTTGCATTTGCATTTTCGAGAAGGTGCCCGTGCACAACAAGGACGGCTCCATCCAATGCATTGGTAAGCTAAAACTCGATCGAATTCATATTACTAAAGCCGTGTTTACTTTATGAGGTCTTCGGGATCTTGGCTTTACGAGAAATCCGAGTATATCTGACTTTCTTCATCTTTATTTTAACCTCTCGTTGTTTTATTTTCTGCTTGTTTTCTTCCACAGCCGAGATAAAGGAGCCACCGGATCTCCGATATGTAGATCCAGCGATGATTGGTATTCTTGCCGGTATGGCCTTGATGTTCGTCATCATCTGCATCGTTCTCAGGCTATTTAGCAAGTACGTTTTGCGAATATTTTTTATCTACTCTATGTTGTTTTCGTCTACTTTTTTTCTTTTTAGATATATATATATATATATATATATATATATATATATATATATATCGTAGACAAACTGATCTATATTCCTTAAAATGATCCCTGATCAAAACAATTAACATGAATCTATAACGAGAGCATGAAATTAATGATAATATTGTTATTTACCTGTTCTAAGCGTATTTTATTGCCTTGGACAATAACGTTTTGAGAACTTTATTATAAAATAGTTTATAAAATCATTCTCCGATAATTATATATTTTTAAATTACAACTTTATCCGTTATTCCACACCCCCTCCCATGTGCCCTAGCATTTTAATAAACGACACTATTAAAAAAATTAGTATTTATTTGATCGATGATTTGCCCTTTTAGAATTGCCCTTAAAGAATAATTGTAAATAGCAATGTTTATAATTTAAAATGGCTGAAAAATGGCGCACTTTTAAAAATAAATAAGTATAATAAAATTCTAGATAGCATGATAATCAAGTTAACGCGTAGCATACACTATACTAATAAATAATTTCTTGTAAATTAAAAAGATACAGAGTGAGTTATTTGTTAATGATCATTATCATTGCTACTTATATCTTTTAATTCGCTCAATTTCACACGAGAGCTTCTTTGCGAAAGCTGATGTGAAAATAGACAATTTACATGCGTAAGTATAGAAGGTGAGACATACGAAGTACTTTAAACGAATTTAATTTTTTTGTTTTTCGTTTTTTGGGTTTTGTTTTGTTTTGTTTTTTGTTTTTTTTTGTTTTGTAATAGTTCAATATATATTTAATACGGTGTTTGTAGACACCATTATTCTTGCTTATACATTATCTCTAAATTTTACAGATGGAAGCGGTATATCGTATCGCATTAAGCATAAATTTCTTATACAATTCACGTCAACCGACTCTTAAGATTTATTTGCAAACTAATCGTGATAGAATATCTATAAATTTTAATAATCGCCCCGAGACTGCACTGCTCGCTCTCGATAATAATAATAATGTTCTGATGTAATAAGGATTGATGACGACGGCGACGCCGATGATATTGTAATTCGAATACGAAACTTAAAAAGAAAAAAATGGCGAAGAGCCGTGCGCGAATAAACTTCAGCATGATCTCGGGTAGAGAGCGTTAGAGTCTGGTCTCGGGGCGAGAGGGGAAGGTATGAGGGAGACGGTGAGGCTGAGCAGCGACAAAGCAAATCGGCCAGGTGGTACATGGACTGGCGGTCAGATTAATGACGGTGGGGGTGGTGACGGGTCGGGGACGACACGACGACAGATGCGCAGATTTTGAAATGGTCGGGCGAGTGTTGCAGGGCTCGCTGGAGGGAGAACCGGACGATCTTCAACACGCCGAATGCCCGGTTGATGAACGTCTCGCTGCTGCGGGACAACAAGCTGCTCCATGGCCAGGAACGTCGGGGCTCGCGGGCAAGCGTCAGGGGCCCCTCGAGGCAGCCCTCTATGGCATCTTTGAGGGCCCACTCGCCGAACGCCTCGCAAGGTGCGAAACACTCTCAGCGAGTGAACCGTACGGGTTTTTATTCATTCACTTACTAAGCAAGCGAAGTTTTTCGACGATACTGAATAACGCTACACACCTTACGTGTAAACTTTATGCGTATATATACATGTTTATACTATGCATATGTATATACATAGTCTTGTAATCTCTATGACAGTTACTTTGCATAGAACGGGAGCGCAGATTTCCTTTATCTCGATTATCTATAAAGGCTCTCTGTCACTGTGAGCCATAGTCTCGGTCTTGTTTATTACGAAAGTGTTACGAGAATGTACGTAGGTACTCTATAAACAGTACTTCTATTCTTATTAGATACTCTCGACTATGACTGTCTCTTAAAACTGACTGCACTTGCTATAGTTAAGTGATCAATTTCATCAGTTCTCATTTGATGTGTGCTTGTCCATTTTCATCGATCACTTTAGCACTTTTTGTCGTCTACTAGACTTTACGTTTCCGCTTGTTCCCCCTCTAATCCCATTGTTGCAATTACACCGCACTGGTATATAAAAGTTATTTTGAAGGATTTCGAAGAAAATCGGGATGACAAACATAAATTGAAAGTTTATCGGGACGAGACGTTATTTGTGCGACGTAGCGATGTTTATCTACGATTCCTGTCGAACGGACAAAGTCCACTAAATTTTGAGTTCGACAGCATGAGATAAATGAAAATAAAAAAAAAACATAAACATACTTGTGACTTTGGATATTGGAAAAAACTGGAAAGGTACTTTAAAATAATCAAAGTAACTTGTCTTGTTTGAATGCACACCATTTACGTGTAAAAGTATATTTATACCAGAGCGAAAACAAAGAGAGGATACTTTCTACGTGCTCGAACCCATAAGTCTATTTTACCATGATTAACCACTGTCCTCTTTCTCCACCTCTCAACCGCTATGTCATTCTGTCGCTGCAGCTTCTTTCTTTCGTCTTGTTTTTCTCTTTCCTAACAATGTTTGGAGTTCCCCATGCGTGCATGCGCACATTTAAACTACCACCGACTTATTCCCATTCTCTCTCTCTCTCTCTCTCTCACAGCTATTTCGCATTCTAGCATTATTTGTAATTCTTATTTTACTTTTAACCCGTACTTTGGTATTGCAATCGCACTGTCTAGGACATTCACGACAAGGACGAGGACAACATTCTGCTGTTATGCGCAAAAAAGCGCCGTCGTTGCCAACGTAGACACACGTAATAAGTTGCCCCGTTCTTGTCCTCGTCTGAATATTTGTATTATCCATCATCAATGCACGTGAATTGCATACATGTTGCATACAATGCATATTTGTTGCTTCGTAAAAAAATCTTTAAATTATTATAGAAATATAAAATTGCATTCATTAATATAAGATTTTTGAAGATCTGTTGTCGCTATTTGCATGGCTTGTACGTTCTTACTTTATAAGATTGTCTATATGATAATATGGGAGACTTTTTAAATAAAACGAATTTTATTACTAGACGTAGATTTAAATCTAATCTTTAAACTTAGAATATATATACACTTATAATATCATAGGACTTTCAATTTATGAAAATTAAAAATTAACAAATTACGTAAAATATTAACAATATCATACGATTCATTCAATAATAAATTTATTTATCATTCAACCTTATTAATTAAGAGGCTGAATTTTTTAAAATTAAATTAAATTTTTTCATATATTTTTTCATAAAGAATAAATTTTAATGTGCGCGATATATTTAATGACTTGTAGCCAGAATTTATTAACAAAATATTGAATTTTTCGAGAAATAGCAAATCGAATTTTTAAATTATCATTCACATCAATAGCTTAACATACGAAATTTTCATAACTTATTGATCAATTCCTTATTATAATATAGTAACGCTATATTCCGAAATAGTAATAATTATCGAATAATTTAATAAGTATATGAAATTATTATTATTAGAAAAGTGTTCACATTTATTTGAAATAGTAATTTACTTTTAATTGTATAATAATAATATCTCAACTTCACATAGATGTGCATATCAAAAATAATGCAATACATATCGATTATAAGACACTATATTACTGTTTATAATGCAAATCATACACTAATAAAATTGTTTTTACATACAAACGTCTCATAATGTGTAGAAGTAATTTGTACATATTATTTAAATTATCAGTTGAATGATAATGTTATTCAGCTTTGTCGTAAATGTTCAAATATTTTTATTGAATTTTTTTTAATAATCAATACATGTAATTTCGAATTTCACTATAATATGCACAGCAAATTGCCTTTTTTTAACAGTGTTTGCTTTTGCTTCTTTGTCAAACGAAAAAGGATTTTCAAATTTGAAGAGAAAATATATAAAGAAACTATTATCAACAATTATTGGTACTTCATTGATGTTCTATGCATTAATTGAATATATGAAATTAAATGGTAAAAGAAAACCGATAACTATTTACAACCATTATATACTATAATGGAATAATATACACTATAAATTTTATAATTATAAGCTGGTATGATTTTAAAATGTTTATACATAATATTTGTTTTTTATGATATAATTTTTACTTGATACTAATAATCAATATGTACAAAGCAAAACAAACAGTGCATGTGTTCATGTGAATTTTTTTTATCTGATTACAAATACTTTTAAATATCTATACGTCAACAAACCTTTAAGTACTTATGTGCATAAAACGAGCTTAAGAAAATATTTTAATTTCTAACCATTAGAACGTATCGTTGTTCTTAAAGTCTTAAAATTGTAAATTATAGTTTCCAATGTTTTACTTGAGTATTGCATGTTATACCATATATATTTCTTCACAAAATAACATCATTTTAAATAATAAATTTTTTTTTGTTTACTATACATGAATAAAGTATGAAACATTTGTCCGAAGTACTTTCAACGTATCACGATTACGTTTTCATTTTCCTTCGAATTGTCCAACAGGCTTATTAATTTCTCATTATTTAAAAAGTCTATTAATCCAGCTGTATTTGTTATTATAATTTGTTTACAATTATGCTCAAAATTATATTATAAAATTATATATTTTATTACGCATAAAGTAATTTATTTTACTACTGATAATAGAGAGATAAAGTTAACAAATTTTTAAATATTTTAATTACTTATATAACTGATATTTATATCAATTAAATAAAAATATAGCTAAGGAGAATTTAAAAATTTTCTCCAATCGCGTACAATTTTCATTTGTAATTAAATCCTGACATACAATTTTTTTTATTCTATAATGTGATAGCGAGATTGTGAAGAAGTATTATTATACAAACATGTAGTATTACTGTAAATTATCAAATGTACGCTCAATTAGAAATATAATGAAATGTGCATTAATGGGACTTCATTCTCAGTAAATATTCATACTAAATGAACAGTAAAAATAAATAATAACTTTTTACATTATATTACATAATTATATATTTTGTTGTTTAATAAAAATAGTTCTATATATATGTATGAAGTTATAACCTTAGACAACTATTTATATAAAATAACCACGTGATTGATCGTTAGAATAATTAAGCACAGTATTCATTAGTTTTTAAACAATTAATTTCAATACAAATTTTTGTTTATTATCTAACCACTGACATTCTAATTCGAGAGACCAATGCCCTCGCTCTACCTATTTTAATAAATTAATATATTTGCAATTAACTCCATGCATGCCATTGCGTTTGTGCATATAATTGAGGTTGCTGATGCGTCTCTTACATCCAACTATGCGACATGACATTAGATTTTTTCACTTAATAGAATCATATTTCAAAATAACATGCAGCTACATTCCGAAATACTTTTATTTGATATTGAAATTACCCACATTTATGTAGGAATTTATGTTATTATTAGTAGCTTATAAAATAAATCGAGCGTCCGAGAAGGACTGAGATACGAAGAATAACCGCTGACAATTAGAGAAAAGATCATTTATTCGATTAGCCTTGAAAGATGCGTAGTTGAATCGTGTCACGGGCGCATCACTCGTCGCGTATTATACTTTGCGTTGTTGCTTCGTAGGCAATGGATCTCAGTATTGAAACGACGTCCATTCCCGTTCGGTCAGAGTGATTTCCGACAAAATTATTGGCATTACCACACGGCAAAAACTTACTATTAAAAACGTGACGTCGATTCGAGAGTGAAGAGCGCTGAGTACTTTTGTGCCACTTATCTTTTTTCTTTTTTTAGCTTTCTTGTATCGTCGGCTGCTCTCGGTAATACCACTACCATGTATATCCATGTTCTCTCTTATCCGCGTTTCAGCAACCGGTGAGACAGATGTTGGTCTCAGAATTAATCTGTTTCTTATCAACCGACTTTGCATATTCGGCGTCAAGATTGATTTTTCAATAAATCCGATTGTTCAATCTGCGCGTACGACTTGCTGTGCGTTTCTAACTTTCAAACTGTATTGAGGCAAAGTACCATCCGCCGTAACATTAAAAATGCAAAAAAATCCTGTCTTTAGTCGTAGAATAGAATATAGATAGAAAGTAGAAGAAAAAGGTAAAAATAATGAGGTAAAATTGACTAATAAAGAAAATTGAGATATCGGTAATAAATATCACTGGCCAATCGAATAGTATGGAGTAACGATAGTAGTATATTATTGATAAAGAATAATTTATTCCAACAGATATGTCATGAAATCTCAGATTTTATTATGGAAACGCGTCGTTGAAAGCTATAAATCGACGATTAAAGGATTAAAATTACGTAAAATAATATAGGAGTGAATTAAGTGGAAGTATGATGATTCTTAGTTAATGAATTGAAAGGAACTGATAATTAAATTGTAATTTTTATTTCATAATTAGAAATTGATGGGTTATTAAACGTTATGTTTATCAGGAAACTTTACTTAACAATTATTTTTCAAAAACATTCCAATTATAATAAAAACATTTTAATATTTTATATAAGATTATGTTTGGTTGAATATAGGAGACGCTTTTGTTTTATTGTCGCAAATAATAAAATAAAATTTGAAATAGGCAATATATTACCAGCAGAAAATAAATTATGTAACAAATAAAAGTACAATGCTGAAACACTTAATGTGGCTGTAGTAACAATTTGTATTGTTATAACGGCCATTAAAATTTTGATATCCAGCTAAATTTTTACTCATATTATCGACCTTGCACTAGCTATTCTAGCGATCAATCTTTTTTCTTTTCTCTAATAAATAACGAGCGTTTTCGCGACAATTAGCTTTCCTGTAACTATAATAATGAAGTATAAAATGAAGCTCGTGCGCATAAACTCACTGAGTATATTGTACGAGTGCGCCACTTTTTCGACGATAAATCAAAATCGCTTATTCGATTAAAAGACTCTTTAGCTGGCGTAATATTGATTCACTAAACTTCATAACGAAGGATGAAAATCAATTGCTTATTAGTATCAAAAATTTGTCTTGTAGTATCAAAACGGTCATCCAAGCTCATACCGCTAAGCAAACGAAAATACACAGTAAGGCCCCAATATTAGTCCCAATATTAAATGTCTTATGTATTTACATATCAGACGAGAAAATCCTTTTGAATAACGACAAAGGAAAGCGCGGATGCATCGCTTTCGCTCCGGTACAAGATACTCGAATAACGGAGAATTGCACGCCATTGTCGCCAGGGTCGAGGACGGGTTCGCGTCGTGGTAGCCGCGGAAGCAGTGGAAATGCCTCCGCTGTTTCCGGCAAGTCCAATAAGTCGCCCCCGAATCACCAAAACAACATCGGCAGCGATCCAGTACTGGAGAACGTCACCGTGGAGATCCTCCAGGACAAATAAGCTCCAATGCGCTGTTGGATTATAATAATTTGGCGACGCGTCAGGAACGTCTATTGAGTGCGTCAATGGCGACTCGACCTCTTCTCTACGAGCAAAAACAACACAAAAAATAATAATAAAATTAAAAAAAATAAATGATATTATCGCTTTGAAAACTGACGATCAGACCACTAACCTTTTTTTACTCTCTATAGTACAAGTACAATTGATAAACAATTTGGGAGATTTTGTTGTTCTTACGATAGGTTTCCGTTACTTCGATGAGTTCCTGTTCTTTAGTCCTTTCTTTTTTTTTCTTTTTTTTTTTTTTGTCTCGACTTACGGAATTGAATGTCTCATTGAACAGGGAAAAGAGAATAGAACAAGAACGTCAGTGCATGCACTTTTCTCTTTGATGCTGTTCGGTTCCTTTTTTTGTTCTAATTTCACGAAAGTCTCAACTGAATTCAGTACTTGAAGAATTATATAAAGTAGAGTACTTTTTTCTTTACTCCATTATAAGTAGCTTTTAAGCTCCTAATTGTAAAATTTAGAAAAGTGCTTAATTACATGTGCGATCTCGAGTAAAAGGGATTATACTTATTATAAATAACGTTGTTCGGCAACATCTTTTCCACTTTCTCTCGGACGAATCTACAATGAAAGAAAAATTATCTATATATGTACATATTATATACAATGCGCTTTGTATTACATATTTTCGTGGTAAATGGTCGATTTGAAATCGCTGGCGCTTCATCAATTCACAATTCTCTAATAAATATAAGATAAAAGCTGTAGCTCGTTAGATAAATAAATTTTCACACACTAAAACTCGAGAAAGTCATAAATTCTATTGTATCGTATGACTGTCCCTCTACCTTTTCTCGCGCAGTCGCAAAATATACGATTCTCGTCTTTGTCACGTACACATAAGAATAAAACAAACTATGTCTTTAAATAAGTAAAATTATCGAGAGCTCGTATTGTGAGAAGAGACTAAAATGCGCCATTTATTTGACTTTTGGAAAATGTGATTGAGTTACTTATAATAACCTATGATATTTGACATAATAAGTTCTTAAATAATTTATACTCGATTGCGATACGCGTTAATGAAATTCTATAAAATCAATAATATGATATAACTGTATCTATCTTCGTTATATTAAAAAAAAAAAACAAACAAACAAACAAAAAACAAAAAACCAACAAACAAAAAAAAGATAAAATATCTATGTTGAGAGTCGAATGTTGAAAATCTATGAAGAGAGTAGATGATTTTACAATCATGAAATATATTATATTATATTATATAATGATGAAACGTCTATAATATAATTTATTGGTAAAGAGTAATGATAATTAGTATCGTTGTCAATCGCGTTAAACACGCGCTTCGATCTTTATCAAAACGATGAGAAAACAATGCATAAATTCAAAGTTAAAATTTGTAATATGATCAATTATAACGTTAATATAAAAAAAAAAAAAATGTGTGAACAGAAATTGAGAAAAATTGAGGGACAGATCTGAATGTGAAAGTTAAGTAAATATCGATTATTAATAACAAACAATGTCAAACAAGAAGGGGACCACACGAAAGTGTTTTTTCGAATCGATCATCTCGAAGATATAAACAAGTTTACACATCGAAAAAGGAATGCAAATTGAATTATTGATAAAATTACATTATATATCGTGGTCACTGAGTATGCACAGCATGCAATTAATCCAAATTACTAAACGTTTGTCGTTTTTCTTTTTGTATTGCGACAAGAATAACGTATATAGTTCCACACATATTAATACAGTAAAAGTATATATATATATATATATATATATATATATATTTACGCAAGAGACGGGAAGCAGGAATATAAAAATCACGCTCAAATCAATCAACGGCAGTGTCATATTTAACAATAATCTCGTTAAAAACGATGCTTAACTACATTATAGAAAGCCGATAATCACGTGTTGGAAATATAAATAATCATGTCACTTTATGCGGAATCGATAAACGCAAACCTAATGATAAGTCTTGGGTTAACTTAAATAAAAGATAATGTTTTATTAAATAGATCGGAAGCCATATGGAGAATGAAAGAAAATTTTCGCTAATACGCGCTACTATCTCTCAGACTGTCCAATAATAACCACAGTAATGAAAAATATTAAATAATTTTATCACAATAGTTATTTTACATCTCTATGAAATTCGGTGCCTATGCTATCGTTATAATAATATAGTTAATACAAAAATATTACGCTGCACAAATATTGTATTACATTTAAATACGAGGTAATATATATATTATTCATAAAATAATATGCATAAGAAGTAAATTCATATAGTTATAGGTAAATTAAAAGAAAGATAGAGTCAAAAGTAGATACGGAATTCAAATAAAGAAGAACAGTATCGATATATGTAAACACACCAATGCTCTGCACTATCATTTAAATCATTAATGGTGTTATACCTACTATTATTATTGTTATTATGTTTTTGTTGTTTTCTTTTTTTCTTTAACTATCACTGTGAATTATATACAATATATTTAGCAGCCATAATTTATTCGAGTGGTACTATAGTGATGGATACCTATAGTGATCGTTACGCTATTCTGTGATTACATATGCTACTAAGAGATGGATCGCGTTCGCGCGATTATCCAACTCGCTTAGAATATTATATACAATATCTTACATAAAAAGTAATTAAAAATAGACATTAATAATGCTTGCAAGAGAATGTAAGATAAGAATGGTAGAAAAAAGAAAGCTTACAGATAATGATGCACGAACATTTTTTAAGCGGACATATTTTACAATTGCAACAACAATTTTACTTCTTATATTCTACACATCTATATATATATATATATATATATATATGTATGTTTTTGTAATGCAAATTTAAATCATATATACTTATACACAAGTTATATATAAATAAAAGGAACGGATAGATAGATTTTGATATATTCCGTCGAATAGATGATAAATAATTGTTCAAGCCATAGCAGCGTATATTTAAGCAAAAAAAGCATACGTCAATCAATTACTTGATATATATATATATATATATATATATATATATATATCAAGTAATTGATTGACGTATGCACCATCACTACTAATATCCTTATTATTATATTAATATTTAATATAGTTGTTCGAATCATCAACTTTATTATAAACTACTCAGTCATTTAAAATAAGTATTATAAAAATATATACAAGAAATATAGGTAATTTTTTTGCAAGATATATATATATATATAGATATATGCAATTAATCCAATATCAAAAGGAAATTAGGGGAAGGTTTCCATTTGAAATCGGAAAATTGACTTTCGTATAATTAGCCCCATTGCTAGTTATATTCTTCATGGATAGAACAAAACGAGATGCGTCTTGGGAAGGGACAAATTTCACGAAATATATATAGTCATTATCTTACATTATATAATAATATTAATAATAATAATATTGATAGTAATATTACTAATAACATTAATAGTAGTATTAAAATAATAATAATAATAATAATAATAATAATAATAATAATAATAATAATAAAGACGTTTTTAAATATAATTCGGCGATTAATAGTTTAAACATTTTCCAAATATTTACTGTATCGAATTAACTAAATAAAAGTACTACATATACGTATTATAAGCTTTGACACTTATCGATCTTTTCCTTTGCTTTTGTGCAAAGTGCCTCTAAATATTCTCTTTAAGCCAAATAAAGATCTAATCATGATGAAATAATACAAATATGCGATAATTCGCGTTTAGCTTTCCAATTATCATGTTTCTAATTATAATGTTATCTTCCTGATTGAGGCTTTGTTTATGGGGAAGTTACAAATTTGACGTTTTTGGACACTGACTTTATACTGTACTCGAAGTTTCATAGATTACATATGTAAGACTTCAATATAAATTTGTGAAATTCAAATTCCAATAGCTTCGAGTGCCAAAAATAAAAAAATAATACTAAAAAATTTGTAGATGAAGCTTAAACATAATCGTAGCTTAACATAATGAAATAGCAGCAAGTAAACATAAATAAACATTTTTTGATCTCTTGTAATTTCCAAGTATTGACACTGAATGTTCCAATAACGTAAAATCATTGGGGAAGTATTTGAACAATTAGCGTCAATTACAATGGAAAGACTAATCATAAATAAATTTATTAAATAAATATAATCACATTTGATAGATACTAATCTAATGAATTTTCACTCGCTTACAATAATTAATGAAAAAGCATAACTTGATCGAATTTATTACTCGTTTAGATAAAACTTCATATAATTTACAAATAACCATTTATCGAAACGTTTATATTTCAACTATTAACTAATTAATACGGGAGTTAACCCTAATGATCTAATCATTAAACAACAATGTATTTGTAGTTTAAGCAAAAAAATAGTAGAATAATATTACCTTTTAATACATTTTTTTATTGTAATTATGATCGTGCATTTGACGTAACGCGGGTGTCCGATTTTTCACTACGATTATAATGCGAGGACGACTCGAATAAAAATATAAGATAAAAATATCGATAGATTTAGTTAGAACAAGAAGATCTGTAGCGACAATGGAAGGTTTCAAATTGGTTTTATAGTCGAGCAAATGCATAGGTACTTTTTTCCTCGAGTCTTCCTCATTTTTATGTAACATTATTTTGATCAAATGTTATATCAGCATACATATTTAAAAAACAATACATTCATTTATTTATTTATATTTAACGTTAACAAACATCTAATTAATTATAAATGTATTATCATAAAAACATTCTAGGCTTTTTATTATCCATGTTTTTAATACCAAAAACATTTAAAAAAAAATATTAGTGATTTTATGTCGTTTCTATGTATGAAAAAAAAACATCGTTTTTATGTTAAGTATTGCCCACGTGTGAAAATAAATTAATTTAAAAACTAGAAACTTTTCTATGAAAAAATGTACTCCGAATGGGCCTAATATAATTTCGAGGAAAATAAAAGTGACGTTGCCCATCGACACAATCGAACATTTCTGTGATCTTGAAGCTCTCTCCGCCATAAAATTATAACACACATAAACTTATTAATGAATAAACGTAAAGCGAGATCGAGAAAGGCTTTTATACTTATATAAATATATATTTAAAGTACTCGCGTCTTTAACTTTCTCTCTCGCCATGAGCTAAACCTTCATTCTTCTACATTTTTTTAATTTTTTAAAAAAAATTTATTATATTAGTATATTTTATATTATTATACTAGCTTATACATATGTATGTGTGTATATATATACATCATCATAGCTGCTGCTAGAATAACAGCAATTTTTAGGCTCGTTGTAATCGCGACTCTTGTAATAACAAAAGAAAAACGACGAAAAACGATATTTAAAAAAAATTAAAAAATGGATTAATTACGTATGGATTAATAAACAATCCAAAATGTAAACGAATGATGCATTTCTGATGTATCGGTGCCGAAATTAACATTCATATTGCCGAAATAAATTCAAATTCACTCATTAGACGTTAGTATGATATTACATAATACATAGTCAACGAAAATCAGATTTAGATAATATAGACACCAAAAATCAAAATGTACAAGATAATGTATAAAAATTTGAGTGTAATACTGTAACATTGTAAAAAGATTAATTTCTTTTAGTAATAATAAATATTCTTACTTAATTAATTTTTTTTGGTTTTTTTTTAAAAAAACGTAATGTAAGCATATTGCAATACATTATCATCTAGTAATTTTTTACTTTACAATTTGTACTCCACTTTTTAATAATTCATGGTTTAATTTCTTAGAAATCTATGTCATAAAAATTATCGATTACGAATCGTCTATTATAATTTATAAACAAATAAATACTAGGGATTTAATGATAAAGTAACGATAAAATATATCGGTAGGAAGATGAAATGGGAAGTGAAATTTTATTATAATAAAAATTCAATTGTTTAGAAAAATTTAAGCGAATAATACCAATATCGATTACTCGGAATAAAAGTGTAACAATTATACAATAGTTACGAGAAAAATTACATGTTTATTAAATGAATGAACGCTGATGCCATTGACCCGTAGAAATGCAGCATACACTCAATAATTATGTTTCTTGGTCTAATAAATTCATCGACTTATTTTGACATTCACGAGAAATTTCAGTTCAGAAAATCTGATGCTGTATGAATTCATTTACTTGACTCTCATTTATGTAGCTTAAATGACTCTGAAATTATAAAAATAATTATATGTTCAATTCATATTTAAATAGCTAAAACGTCTTTTTCTTCTTTATGTAGAATGCATTGTATGTGAAAGGATAATAATAAAAAACAAAGTAGTATTATATTATGCGTAGAGAGGACTTCAATTGATAGTCACATGTCAGTTGTAATGATTATAAATCTAAATACAAAACTTTGTAACAACAACAAAGGAGACACTTATTTATTATATTTATTATATTAAATTGTTGTTATATTATACGATTTCATATTTATAGCTTTCACGAAACAACCATGAATTTTATATGATATATACATATATATGTATATATTAAACGTACGTATATATATATATATATATATATATATACATATATATGTACATACGTATACATAATATTATCTTAAACTGTACCTTTGAGCTAATTATCTTATAAACTATGAATTCATTTTAATAAAATCATAATACACTAATATTGCTTTTATTTCTGCCTCATATTATTTGTAAGTTATTTATTTTAAAGCTTACTTGCAATTAACTATTTTATTCGGTAAAATTCTCTAATAGAAGATAAAATTGATTAATATCACTTCTTTTTATATATTTACGTAAAAGCAAAAATTTACTGCAAAAATGCTTATTTAGTTCATAAAAAATTACTTCATTTTTTTATAGAAATTTATTTTATATTTTTCATATGTATAATTATTATTAATTTTCACTTATAGAATTTTAATTACTTTAACAAAACTTACTGTTTTTGCAGGTATTGCGTATGATGGTGACGTAGTCGTTACATTGTGCAAATAAGAGACGAAGCAGTTTTATAGGTCTTTTACTAAAAGGAGATAGATAAGAGAAGTTAGAAATGAGTTAGTAAAATAATAACAAAGTTCTATGCTCTTACTCTTTTCTTAATATTGCTTGCCTTGCTCTTAATATTTACCTAAACAATTGAATTATTATTTTTAAAAACAAGAATGACAAATTGTATTTTTGTCGTCTTGTCTATTGTGTATATTAAAAAATCATGCATTTTTTTCCTGCATATACAAAAATAATTGTTTAAAAAATCTATCATATTTATGTATTCTTCACTTTAAACTGAAATATATACTTATTTATATAAACGAAAATCACAAAAGGATTTCTCCAATTTTATTCAGGACTTATTCAATCAATCTGAAATTTTTAATATTTTTTTAACCATAAATAAACTTCTCTTAAGTCAAATGATTTTCAATATAAAAAAAATACTAAGATTACAACACAGTGTAAAAAACTTATTTAAAAAATTACTTTTTCTTTTGGTATAACTGCTACAATAATCGAATTATAAATGAATATTCATGAACGAATAGAGATCGATGTTTTTATCATATAATTGATTATGACATTAAATAGCTAAAACGTGACATTATTTAATGTTAACTTTTCCTTAATTCACAAATAATGTTCGTATATTATATTATAAAATCTTACTGCACATTATATTGAAATCTAATAGAGGAGAAAAACTATTATGCCGAAAGCATGGACCATTTTACAAGTTCTAAAGATAATTCAAAATTATTACACTGAACTCGTTTACGTACTACGCAATAATAATAAATGATTTACAATATATTGTATAATATAGGAGAGGTAAAAAACGAATGTCTGAAATGTTATGTAGAAAAACAGCTACTAATGCTTTATTATAATTCATATTTAGCAGATAAAATTTGCCATTAAATTGTCATATTCACAAATAATACACCAACGATATAAATGAAGTTATTTTATCAATAATACATTTTTAATGCCGATTTACAGGCAAAAATTATTCGCACAACTATTTAGGAAATTTTCATTTCATTACCAACGCGGTAATCATCGAATAAACAATTATAAATATTAACTTAATTAGATTAATAGAGCTAAGGTATCACAATTTGACTAAAAGCTTATTAATGTTATAAGTTATTATAAATGAGAATAAAATTGTATTTACTAAATCACTTAAGTGCTTGAGTGTATAGGTGCGTGTACGCCTGAATTTTATCGATATGATATGTCGATCAAAAAACTTCAAAGGAAACGATCAAGGAATAAACAAATACACGCCAATGTTCGATTATTGATCGCACAAACTATTATTATATCGGTTGTACATTTAGAATCGTAAATACAAGTATTATGAAAGAAAAATATATACGATGGTTCACAAATTTAAAATAAAAATTCATGAATTTCAATAAAGATGATATATTTACCATAGTAGATGAACTAATTTTGAATCCAGAATAAATCGATCGAATGAGGAAACATGCGCAAGGAAATTCAAGCTGATATTTAATTATAGCAATTTAATTTTTTGCAATTAATTATAATTATTTACTAGTTATTTCTTAATTTATCAATTGCGTTGATTGAAATTTGATTTTTATATTTCTAATAAACGAACATTATATTAGAAGAAATTAATAATATTTTATTGAATAGTAACATTATGGGATTAGGTTTGTGTGTAAACAATAGGAAATTGTATCTACAATACAAGAAGAAAATTATATAACAACTGATCATCTAAATTACAATTTTGACAGTCTAAATTACAAATTGTCAAATGATGGAAAATTATAAAACTTAGTACACGAAGAAATGAATCTTGAACAAAATGTGCTGTAGTTAATAGTCAACAACATATGTGTTAATCAACAATTTAATCATTAAACCAAATATCTTTATTTGATTGTGTTGCCTTATTAGGTGAATTTAACAAAATTGTTGCATAAAACTATTCTTTTATCATTCTATAAAATCAAATCTTATTCCGAAGAGATATTTGATTTTCCGTATTAGATTATTTTTACAGAGTTAAAATAAAATTATATTTGCAATATAAGATAAATGCAAATTACGAATATTGCATATGGAGCACTTGAAAGGGCCGAGACTAGTTAATAGTGACCTTTCAACATTACAAAAATATCTTTATAAACATTTGTTATAAAATTTTATACACCCAAAATTAGAGAGCAATGAGTGCTTTAAAAATTATATACCAATACGCTAATAATTTCGTAAAAATAATACATAATGCATCAGTCGTTGATTTGAACTCATTTTATGAAATAATGTTATTATAAGAATATTAAATTTATAATGTATAAAATTCGTTAATGATAAAAGAATTATAAAAAAATGTTTATTTAATAGTTAGAATTTGAATGATTTAGAAAAATACTTTATTTACATTAAACAAAAATTTTTAGACAGTATTTACAAATAAAAATAATCAATCACGGTACGATTTTTTCGCTCGCCAATCGAGAAATTCATCGAAATCCTCTTCGTCGCTAGACGACTCATTGTTATCTTGTTTTCGTTCAGCTATTTGAACTAGTTCTTTCTGTTTAACTAAATCCATGACCCTAGACCAGTTTCTTAATTGTTCTTCAATTACATCGAGTTGCCTTTCCGTCGCTGCTTCTTCTTGATCATCTCCAATTATTTGAGCCGACTGTGCAGTTTCTTCTTTAATTTCTTTTTGAAATCTTTCCCACTCTTCTTCGATTGGATCTTTATATTCAACATTACGAGCCTATATAAGAATATAAATATTATTGTTAAAACAAAGTTTGCGACATCATTGGTAATTTAAAGAATTAACAAATATTGAATTTCAGAATATTTTAGAAATCATGAAATATTTTCAAGAGAAATCAATGTATTTCACAATGAAAATGAACTTTTAATTATAAATTTAAATCAATTGCAAAATAGGCATTAATTTCAATATTAAATACAATTAGTTTAATAATAGAGTCGTAAATTTAATTTTCAATACATAGAGTGAATATATTCAAATATATATTGATTATATATATATATATATTCAAACATACCTTTGCATCTTTTACTGGATCATCAAAGAATCCCTCCGGAAGTATCGATTGACTAGCATCCTTATTGTCCTTATTTTCATTATTTACCATTTCTTCTTCATTATTTACTACCTCTGTACTACTACTCGTTAAATTTGTTACGGCTACACCAACATTATTATCAGTAATCATAGAATTCTCAAAAATGTCTGCTGGTAATTTTGTACTTGTAGTCGATGATTGCTGACATACATTCTTCAATATTCCTTTAATTTTCTTTTGTGGTTGTGGATTTTCATACGTGGATAATCTTTTATTGGAATTTACAGATTGCGAGGGTATGGTAGATTCAAGTTTTGTTTTCTTGGCTAATGCAATATTATCTTTATGTAATCTTGAATTTAAGTGAACTGGCCATATTGCTTCATTACGTACCACCAGTTTACAAAGAACACATGTGAGTTGATCTAATTCGTTATACGTATTTTGGGAATTAAGGAAAATAATTAAAATTATATAGAATATATTATAGAATAAATAACATTGCAAGATTACAAGATCTTTATCTCTAATATTGCAAACTGTTCGCTTACTCTAAAAATATACTTGCTGAATCTTTTTTTATGAATATTATATATTTATATAAATTTATTTTAACAATTTATATAATTCATAAAAAAAGATTTAGCGACAAATATAATTTGAGTGAAATTTACTTCTTGATACTGCTAAAGCTTATCAAAGTATAATTTCAAAATATTTACAAAAAGGATATCTAGCTAATGGTGATTCTATTTTCTTTATCGCACTATGTTTCTTTTTTGCCTCGAACATAGCTTTTCTCAGCTCTTCTTTACTAATTTTATTTTTGATTGACATCGTTAAATATTATTTTAAATAAATAATAATACTATTCAAAACTACTGATTGTACAATGTATATATGTCAATATTTTAGGTTATACTAGACAATAATATCAAGTTGAGGCAACAACTGTGAATATTTTTAAAGGTTTCATCGATGATTGTGTGAAAATTATGATTGACAATGTAATGTTAAAGCGATGAGTTCGTTTTTATTACTAGGAATCTAGCGATATCTAGTGCCCCGATGAGAAAGTAGAGAAATTAAAGTTTCTGGTGCAAGAAAAAATGTAGGCAAAAAAATTAGGAAAAATTTAACAGTGACATTGTTTTTAATATATATGGGTAATATATATTAATATATATAATAGTAGAAAAAGACGAAGATTATGAGAAAAAAGAAATGTCGATATTACTTTTCGGTGAAAATATTAATTTGCAGATATTTTAATTCCGTTAAATCTTCTGAAAAGAATAAGAATTTCTTTTACTTTTCAAATTACTTTCAATGAACAAATTGAACGAGTAAAAACCGTCACTATTCTCGTAATAAATTTTTTCATATAGAAGACAATTTGAAAATTGCTAAAAGTTATTAATTAAAAGTTGTTGAATATAAAAAAAAGGTGGTTATAATTTGAATGCTACAGAATTAAACATATTAATGGAGATATCTAGCATTTGTAATAGTGGAGAATAATTAAGAAAATTTATAAATACATTGTAACAAGAGAGTATAATATTTTTGAAATATTCACGATGACATATGTAAAATAAAATATATTGGTAGAGACGTAACGATAAAGAAATAATATAATGTAATGTAATATTGTGGGTAATATAATTTTAGTGTGGATTTTAAACGTAAAACAAATTTTTGGAAATGTTTATAATTTTCTATTATTATAGTTTCTATTATTAGTTGATAATTTTCATTTTATTTAACTTAATCTGTTTCACTGGAATCGGTTACAATAAAAGAAATATAATAATTTTTTTTTTTTTTAATTTACCATATATTATTTAATTAGATGATATTTCGAGAAACAAATATTTTATTATTGAGTCATTTACATTAATTATTTATTGAATATAATTTATTATATTGTATATGTAAAAGTATAGTTTTCGTATTAAATTTAAAATATTCATTATCAATCAGGTAATTATTATCATTATTTTCATTATTAACTATTATTTGTTCATTTTTCTTTCCTTTTTTTGCATATCTATTCTACAGAAATGCAGTATTTTAACAAATTGATTAAATTCTTACTTGTTGGTCAATTAAATGTAGCGGTTTTACAAATACAATACTTCAGCTTTTCCTAAAACGAGGTTATGTTTTACGATCACTAAATAAGTGCATAGGAAAACTTCGATACTGACATTTTAACATTAAGCTTAAAAATAATCTTGCAAACAATTACATTAATATAACAGTGTCATTGAAATCAATGTTATAATGTATATAATTATAAGATTACATATATGCTAAAGTTTTTAATGACAGAACAACATTAATAACAATAAGGAGTATTTAATATCAATAAAAGTTATGCTGTTCTGTGAAATTGTATTAATTCAGTGATTTATTCAATAATAAACAATGGATAAACTTACAGTAATTTCCGGGACTCTATTTCTTGCAGCTGACATATTTGCAATTATTAGTCTTGCTATGCCAGATTGGATTATAACCGATGTTGGAGGTACCATTTTATTAAATTATACAATACTATTAACATAAATTATCTTAGTAAATATAGACTTTACTTAAAGTTAATAAAATTTTTAGGGGACACAAGATTAGGTTTAATGTGGTCATGTATGACACTGTATAATAAGCCTCAGCTTTGTTATAAACCTGAATTGAAGCCAGAGTGGTGGATGGCCTTGATATGCATATTGGTTGGTTGTATTTTAATAACGATTACCGTCATTCTTTTAATAAGCTCACACTGGGATAGAAATGTCATTCCATACGCTAGATGGGTTGGATTTACAGCAAGTACGAAAAGTTTGATATAATTTTATTAAATAAGATTATGGAATTTTATAATGATGGTGTCTTTAATTTAATTTTCAGTGGTACTATTTTGTTTAGCAGCAGTTATATTTCCAATGGGATTTCACATTGATGAAATTGGCGGGCAACCGTATCAATTACCTAATTCCCATCAAGTAGGCATTTCTTACATATTATTTGTTTTAGCATTATGGATAACTGTTATTTCCGAACTATTTGCTGGTAAAGTTTGTTTACCACATTTTTAGCATCTTCTGACAAATTTCTTTTTCTTTTCGTTATTGCTGAGTATTTTATGTATTCCATATATCTACAGAAGAGATATTCCAAGACTGGAAGAATTTTTAGAAAGGTTTAAATTTTAATTTAATTGCACTATATTGTAAATTTTTACCTTGAACTGTTTACAAATTTTGTACATATATTTGTCTAGCGTAAGAGATTAAAAATTAATAAATGTATTAATATATTAAAATATTAATGCAAAATAAAACTTAAAATTTGATAAGAATTTTGAAGCTCTAGAAATTGTAATGTAAATACTTCAATTCTTAAAATTATGAAAATAGTATTATTATAAATTTAGTTTAACAAGCTCGTAGCTTATTTAATGTTCGTTATAAAAAAAAAAAAATTTTTTATGCTGTAAAAATGTACCGATGATTGTGATATGTAATTTAATAACTACTATTAATTCATAATTACCAATAGAAATATTAATCTTTTATATAGATATTGTTAAAGCTTATTCTAATATATAAATAATAAATTAATATTATTTACATTGTAAAATACTAGTGATAAAAAGTGACAAATAGGTATTAAGTGTGTTAAAGAAATAAATAACATAAGGATTTTTATTTAATTTGTAACATAAGGAACTAAAAACAATTGAAAATAAAATAAACAAATTTATCCTAAAAGGAGAAAAGAATCAAGAAATTTATATAGAAACTACTAACTACGATTTCTTATTTTAATATTTTATAATTTACACGTAAATAATTATAAATTTCTCCCTTTACGATAAGTCTTAATTTAATTTCATTTGTCTTTAGCTCTTCACTTACTTGTATTTCATATACCAAAGATTGATTACATCAAACTAATAACGATCGCATCCACTATATATATATAACGATAAGAATATGATACATTTAAAAAGTGTAACGCTTTTCTACAATAATATAATTTTCAATCTGTTAACGCTTAATTTGCTTCTTTTTTTTTTGTTCTTTTTTTTTTTTTTTTGTTTTTTTGTTTTTTTTTTTGTTTCTTTTCAATCGCTTAAATACAAATCTCAGATTAAATTTAGAAAATATAAAAATGCATGTTTTCATTTATCTAAAACGAATTGTTAAACTTTGTAGGACTTCCGTTGCTGTTAGTTATCTACCGCGTTTTAACATTATTTGATTGATTATTCCCAATAGTATCACATCTTCTATAATATAGTAAATATGGTACTCTGGGTGGTAGAGGATTTAATACATTTGACTCAGAAACTCCTTTAAGAGAACTATCATCGTAGCGAACCCAGCCGCCATATCCAACGTGAAAAGCATCGGTTACATAATGGCCTTTAGTCGCTTCCTTGCCATCATGATATGTGACGGCGAACAACTTGTACTGTCTTTGTTTTGGACTTAACTTTGATTTGGCATATCCTGATATTAATTCTGAAATTACGCGTATCAAAGAATCTCAATTTTAAAAAACCATTTAACGATGAAAAGTATGTATTGCAAAGGTATGTTTTACGACAATGTACTTACTGACGTCGAGTTTTAAATCTATAGGGAATTCAACACTTTTGACAATTTTCGAACAACCATCAGGCTTGTAATCGAACCATTTCAAATGCAATATAAGAATTACTGGCAATTCTTCGAGAGTCACTTGTTTCCACGCTTCAATTTGCTGTTTTGTTTTGCTGCAAGTCATTCCTTCCAGTTGATCCTTCCCAACAAGTATTTCAAGTGCACTTTTTACGGATTCTGCTTTCTAAACATTATTTATGCGAATATTGTAATTTTTGGCGAAACATTGGCCATCTCGAGCTTATCATACAATTCATAAGATTAAGTTTTACCTCAATGTCGAGTTGTAATGTAAAAAATGGTTGAACATAATCGGTTGCTTGTTCCGTTGCTCGAGAAACTCGAGATCTCAATTGACCTCGGAATATATCCGATAAAGGAGTACGACCAAAGTCTGTGCTTCGAGTAACCGAACCTTTATTTTTAGGACCCATGACCTAGACAATTGTTTAATGTTTTAGAAATTCTGAAATAAAACTTTTTATATTAAAATACTTTATGATGCATACTTTCCATTCTTCTTCACCTTGATTATAATTTGCATTGGGGTCAAGACATTCTACCGACTTTTGGTCATTATTATTTGCCAATTTCATTAACTGAAAAGAATTATACGATGCCATATTGGTGATGGATAATTCACATAAATATCATAATATATTGGCAAAATAAATTACTATACCTCTAACATTTCGTCGCTTATTCCATTTAACAAACACGATAAAAATTCTTCGGCATCCTCTTGGCGACCTTCGACCGAAAATACACCAGCAGACGATGTATTTTTCAAAATAGTATAGATATACGATGGCTCAAATGGAACACCACTTTGTATGTCTGCAGCCGCATCTTCATTACGTTTTTGGGCCCTATCTTTTCTCGCTAAACGCGCTGCTTCTGAAAGGGGAGTGAATTCCCGAACGAACTTAATCCTGTAAATAATCGCGTAATTACATATGTAATTCTATTGGTGTTTTCAACAATTTTGCATAAAAAAAAAAATTAAAAAAAAAAAAAAAAAAACAACAACACTTACATATTGTCGATAAGTGGACTTGGCGAATGTTTGGAAGGATTCTTTGAATGTGGCAGTGCCATTAGTAAATTGTAAAACAAGGGACAAGCAAGTAAGGCTTGTAATATGCTATTAATGTAACAATAATTACTGCGATTTGTTAGTCCACGCGGTAACAAACTAACAGTCTGCTTATCCATTTGATAACTGAGTAAGAACTCTAAAACAACATATATATATATAAATATATACACATTCAATATTAATCACTTTCTTTCTTTCTTTCCCTCCGTTTTATTAAACAAGAGTGAATCGATCTTTTTTCTATCTTATCTTACCTCCCATTCTATAGGTGATTGGATCATTACTTTGTATTTGAGGTACTTCGGTATGCAATGACTTACGTTGTTCCAATGATATATCACTTTTTTGTTGTACACCTTCATTTTCAGCAAATGGCTTATTCTGGTAAGTCTTTTTTATTAAACATGTTTCTTCACTTGACAATTGTTCGGTTGGTTCACTGTTTACACTTGTGACATTATGGGGAGCGATGAAAGCGGTTGGTTTCTTAGTACTCGCAAAATTTGGTTCTTGATCTTGCTTTACAATACTAGCCCAAGACTGACTTCGTGTATTAGTAGATGATGTAGTACTAATAGGAGTTTCATTAACTTCTAATATATTTTCTGCTACTGGCACATCTTTGACTTCCCTATTTTGAAATTCATCAGATATTTTTACAGCAGGTTTGGAAGTCGTACTCGTAACTGGCGCTTTTACTTGAGAATTATTTTCATCATAATCTTTATCATTTCCATTTTGCTTAACTTCTATACTACTTTTAATATTAACGCAAGGAATATCACTTTTTTCAACACCTTTATAATTTTCATTTATCGTTGAAACTATATGTTGTTCGATTTTAAAGTCAAATTTTTTATTATTTGAATTATTAATGCTAGTTAAATTTTCATCAACGTCTTTAATGGTTGAATCGATATTAGTATTATTTACAATAACTGTTGTGACTATATTTGTTTGGGATGAATTATTATCATCATCAAGCGTTTGATGAATGGAAGGCTTTGTTATATTTACATTTTGCACTCGCTTCTCATATGTTTTATGATTTATACTTTTTGAGGACTCTCCATTAGTTTGTGGTAATAAGCTTTGAGATTGGCGATTATACTTTGTATTTGGTGGAGGTTGATGATATGGTGGGCAACTAAAGTAAATATAGCAAATTACAAATATGCTACTTACGTAGTACGTAATTTTTTTTTTTTTTTTTTAAATGTTTTATATCAACTTACTCAACACGATGAGCTTGTTGTGCCATAGCAGGTGAATGATATATAGCAGAAGGAGAAAAGTAAAATTGACCAGCAGCAGGGTGCTGCTGTAAAGTAACAGAAGGATCCGTAACACATAAAACTGGTTGACACGATAGATTAAGTGGGTATTGACCATGATCTCCTATGTAACCTGTTTGAATTTCACTATTGTGATTAATATTTCGATTGTAATTCTTAGCACCACGTCCACGACCGCGTCTACCACCTTCTCCCATCGTAGGAATTTCTTGATTGTCAATTGTCGAATACAAATTTGGAGAATAAGTAATTCCTTGCATGTACGGATGGATACTTCGATCATTGGCAATAGTATTAATAAACATGTTTGGAGCCCATTCGTGATATACTGGTGTAATGAGTTGTTGATTGTATTGAATCGTGGATGGTACAGGAACAAGGACGGAAGATGAATTATTTGTCTGAGCTTCATATTTCATCATATTTCTTTCAATTACTATTAAATATTATCAATTAGAATAAGCCATTTTAAAGTGCAAAAAATTAGTGGAATTAAACAAAAAAAAAAATTACTATTTATTTTACCATATTGTTGCCAAACTTTTGCCATTTCTTGGCCTTCGATCTGCTCTGAAAGGGCATAGTAATTATTTTCCTCCCTATCCCATGGTAATTTTAACCCTTCGACAACAGCATTAGGTTTTAAAATAGCCGTCAATTCTTCTCTATCATTTGGATCTAAATTTGTCAAATCTAGAAATTCAAGCTCGTTCTGGAAAAGCAAATATTTACTTATCAAATACATTTATTGCTTAATTTGATAAATAACGATTAACTTAGTCAGCTGTAAACTTGAGTTTTGCATATTTAACACCAATTATGCATTACATTATAATGTAATCATAGATTACACATAATTTTAACGGATATTCGACTTTTTTTTTTCTCCATCACCCTTTACTCAATGATGCAACTAAAAACTTCCGCGTGTACCCCTCAACGCGAGAAATCTATAAGAAAAAAATCCGTTACACTGAAAGACATTCAAGAACACTCGATTCGTTTTAAAGCTCTTCGTAACTTAAATAATACTTAATGGAGTAATTAATGACGACCGGCACATTCGGGGATCTAATTAGTAACGTAAAATGAAAAAAAAATTCTAGAATTTTAACCTCAAAATCGATCACATGATAGAGGCAGCACCGACATAGTATGATTTCACAACACTATATGTAATATTAAAAATAAATTCATTTGCAGTATTTGAAGGACTGCAGATCTAAATTATAAATGAAATTTGATTAACTCACCTTGTACAAATTGTCCATGCTGCCGCGTAATAACGTGAGAAAACATCAAAACCGCGAGAGACGAGACAACATGAGGCCGACAACAGAACCTACACGGTTGTGCGATCAGCCGTCTTTTCTTTTCGTCACTGCCTCTTTCTCTCTCTCTCTACTCTTTTCTCTTTATTTAATTTATTTAGGTAAAATTTCCCCTTAGATTAGACAAAAATTAATTACGTGATAACATTTATAACGTAAGATTATCGATAATTGATGGAAACAACTTTGAATTAGTCCTGCCTCTTGATCACCTCGTTGCCGGAACGAACGACATATTTCATCAGGAAGCACATGATTTATATTGATAAATGGCGGAAACTTCGAAATTTCGTAAATGCACTGTACGCGTTCGGCACCCTTTTTTCTATGTGAAAAACAACGGGGCTTTTGGCGTTAAACACTATGCTAATGTAATATTCGCAAAAATGAAATTAGCGGATGATATAACACCTTTGTCCCTGCTCGGACTATAGATACTCCGATCTAATTATGGTGCGCAATAGTGTAGAGACTAAATGGTAACACGAATATACCACGTCCGACAATTAATGAAATAAATATAAATCTCAAGACAAAGACGCAGCATACGCTCGGGAGATAGAATTATACTGTACGGACTTGAAGGTGAGTTTTCAAAAAAGTAATGTATAAATTATGTATATGGAAATATTTAATTTACGTATATGCAGATAAATTTAATGTAAAATAAGGCTTTTCGTCAATTTTTCTTTTTTTTTTTCATTCAAATTGAATTTTATATTTTACAAATTTTACATAAACATTGCATATAATATAAGGCATATGCAAATAAGACAACTTATAGAATATTTTTAGGATACGCAGAAACTTTATAGTACATTTTTACAAAATAGAACTATATTATTAACTTAATTATTATAAATTCATTCTTATGATGTATTATGAAAATACGTACAAAGTCGATATACCAATTCTTTTTATTTGGATTTGCATTACTTATAAGGGAATTTCACAAGGCAAATATGATACCTTCGCGATTAGTAATAAACAAATTTGTAACAGATTTTCATAAAGAGCACATTTAAATAATGATTATTAAATTTACAATATCATTTAAATAAAATTTAATTGATATTAATTTCATATTTAAACAATTTTTTAAATAACGGGGGCAATTATTCTTGAAGGTAATATATAGTATCTAATATTAAGTGTTATTTTCAAATTTAAATTTTTTCCATTCATATAAATACACTTTATCAACAGAAACTTTAATCTCCCAGTACTTGACCACGGCCCCAATTGTGAGCTCTATGTATATTTCCAGTGAATTGCGGCGGTGCCGATCCAAAGCCTCTGAAACTGCTTCTTGGAGGGAAATAATATTCCAGAATTGATGGGGTTGATAGTAAATTTGATCCTCCAAAGTCTTGAGGATATTTGAATTTTAAGAAGAAGTACAAATGTCCACCAAAAATTCCAACAAGCTCTTCTAAGCCATCGTGATTAATAATAAAATTAATTCCAAAAAGAATCCATGGTAAGTACATTGCTTTAAATTGTAAACCTACGCCGACAAACATAACAAAGTAAATACATAATTATGTCAGAAATTTTTTAACATGCCTTGTCCAAGTAATTTGAACCAATGCTTACCAAACCAAAAATGTACAATAGCATCCTTGTTCAATTGGCACCAAATGTAAATAATACTTAAGATCATAGCATTCATTAGACTATAAAAGTTGAGCATTAATCCAGCCACGAGGCAGCATACCCAATTAAATATTAATAAATATAAATAATCAGCGGGTCTGCCTTCAAAGTCTATCCTTTCTAGTCTTATTGAATAATTGTACAGAAAGTACAAATTCATGAGGAAATGAAAATTTGTTTCATAATAAAAGACGCTGGTCACCGCTCTCCATATTTCAAAATTGTAAAGAAACGGTTCGTACAAAAGTATTAAATTAATTGCATTAATTATTCGAAATCTTCCAATTAATGAGAATGCAACAGTCAGAGCTAACCAATATCTCGTAAATATTGGTAAACTTTGAAACCAATCTCCTACATCGGACATTTTTATATAATTGTATTATTCTCCCTTTCTTTCTGCCCTTTATACAAACACAATATTCAATTAAATTTTATTTGAATAAAATTATTTTTTAGTCATGAGTGATTTCACGAATATTTGTTAATTACTTTTCCCCGACACTTATATTAAAATGCTTAGGCCGAGAAGACAAAATTTCTACGAGCTCTCACTCTTAAGCGGTGCGCTTTTAATATTTATTTATAATATATAATAATTGTTTATTCACTAGGTGGCTCAAGTTTGTCGATAAAAACGTGTAGAGTGAATTTAACGTGCAAAAGTTTAAGCTCCAACTCTAGTGATGTCGGCATTGACGTGGCCCCATGCACAATTTTCTTCTTTTTTGTCGCTTTCTCGAAACAAGACTTAATATTTGTATTTATATAAGAACAGGAAGTAAGTTAATTATTAAAAAGAGGTAGCTTTAAATTTCTCATACTTAAAACGTAATTTAACGAATTTACGGCCAGATATTTGGTTAATGTTTATTAAAAATTTAAAAATGAGCTAAGAATTTTAAAAAAAAATACACCAAATATTCAAAATGGCGTGATAATTGTGGTCTAGAAGACCGTTGTCAGCAAGACCCAGCAATAGATATTTTATGGTATTTTCATTGGTGGAAAAATAGAGTACCATAGCGCGTTATAAAATTGACGTGTCACATTGATAATTTAATCAGTTTGGAGAGTGATTTGCTTATTTTGTCTCGTTTATTGATAAAAAAGTAAGGGGGGACAGAAAAAAAAAACAATTCTTAGCGTTCATAAATGGTTTCTCATCCAATTATTAAATTTATTTAATGTTAATTGAAAATAATAATAATAATAATAATAATGAAATTAGTCCATTGCTTTTGTAAGTAGCAAGCCACTCGAGATCAATGCATTTATAATATTGTACTCGAGACTTTGTTATCGAACTGCCAATTATTTTGTAATATAATAATACAATCATCATTTGCGTCTTTTATTTCGCAGAGAAAAGATTAAAATATAAGAAATAATGGAGTATGAGGATGACTTCCTTTTTGAAGAGGATAAAATGTTTGTTTTCCTATTATAGTAGCACTTAGTGAATTATATGTTTTATTTGCTCATTTTCAGTGTGCTTTTTTTTATAAACTTTGCACATGACTATGCCACGGCTCGGTGGCACTATTTGATGGGCGAGATTGCATCGCTCCACAATCCAGTTCGACCGAAAGAATCTATCGAAGCAGCCACTTTAGTCAATATTTCTCATTTTAAAACCACCGTGCCTTTGGCTAACGTTCAGTTGCATCGGTTGAACATGATGGAAGATCGCATGTACGCATTGTTAATTTTGTCTTTATCCAAGACTTAAAGAATTCTTGTTTTTGGCCTTTTTTATATTATTTTATATTATTGGCTGCTCTGGAATTATTAGCCCAGATGTAGAACTGATTAAACAAGATCAGTCTACCTATCTGTTACAACAGCACATTAATCAAATGTAAGTTTCATTTTTGCATGAGCCTAGCTGAAATTTAAGCTAAATTACCACTAATGACAACAACTGCTATGCGTCGTGCATTCATCATCATACCGCTACGCAATTTTGAATATTTTAACAATTTGTAGTTTCTTAGTTTTGTCACATTTCTGCATGCTTAACTTGTGGAGGGAAAGGATGATAATGGAAAGAAGTATGTAATTTTATTAATCGTTCTCCTAATAATACATTTAAGTTTAATACCTCAGTTTAAGATCAATCGATCTATATTATGCAAATTAATAATCCAATTTCTATATTTTAGATGTATTACCGATATTGTAATAAAGCATGCTAAAGCGAATAACAATGGTTGTAAAATCGAGGTGTTAATTTATAGATTTTCATTTCATTAACGTAGTATTGGTTTTTTAAATAGGGGCATGACTATTTCATCGGGAAACGTAATCATAAAAAAAGATAGCAGTAATCTTATTGGGATCAGCATCGGCGGTGGTGCTCCGCTTTGTCCTTGTCTTTATATTGTACAAGTTTTCGATAACACACCGGCTGCGCATGATGGAACGTTGGAAGCTGGAGACGAACTTGTAGCGGTTAATGGTGAATGCTTGAAAGGAAAAACAAAGGTTGAGGTGGCAAAAATGATTCAAGCTTGCGATAACACAGTGAGCATCATCTATAATAAGCTTCATGCCGACGTTCGTCAGGGACGGACTTTGGACATTATTTTGAAAAAGGTGGTGTAAAAATTTTGCTAATTAAATGCAATATCTATAGGCTTCGACATTAAAACGAGTGGAAATTGGCTTAATTTACTTTTTGACACCTTCCTTCCTATAGTACATCAATGGTAACGGGTCATTTAACGACATCTATGTATAACTGTGTAAAGTAGCATAAGTTTGCATAGTTGGTTCAAAGTCAAGTAGTTGAATTTCCCAATCTCCTACAATAATAATAAATATAAGCTTGTTTTTAACATATTTTTTTAACTAATTTATGAATGATTTAGGTGAAGCATAGACTAGTCGAAAGTATGGGTAATGCAACTGCTGATGCCTTGGGATTATCCAGAGCTATTCTTTGTAACGATACTCTTGTCCAAAGATTGGCAACGCTTGAAAAAACGGAAAATCTTTACAAAGGATTGGTAGCGCATGTAAACTCGGTTCTACATGCCTTCTTTGATCTTTTTCAAATTTACAAAGGTACTTGAAAGGAATGTTTTATCGATAGTATTTTCAAATTGTAGAATATATAATGAGAGTTGGATTGATTGAAAATAATATTCTTTACAGTATTTGGAGATGCCTTTGCATCAATGGGTGTGAAAGAACCGCAACCACGAGCTAGCGAAGCCTTCACAAGCTTTGGGGAGCAGCACAGACAAATGGAGAAGCTGGGAATAATTATGTTGAAAAGTATAAAACCCATCTTATCGGATCTTGGAACATATCTGAATAAAGCAATTCCAGACACCCGCATGACTATTAGTAAATATGCGGATGCTAAATTTGAATATCTTTCTTATTGCTTGAAAGTGAAAGAAATGGACGACGAAGAGCAGAGTTATATTGCAATTCAGGAGCCTCTGTATAGAATCGAAACAGGAAATTACGAATATCGCCTGATTCTAAGATGTAGACAGAATGCTAGAACAAAATTTGCAAGACTGCGATCGGACGTTCTGGTTAAGCTCGAGCTTCTCGATAATAAGCACGTAGAGGACGTTGTGAAACAAATACAAAAATTTGCAACTGGATTGGCCAAGTATTACTCAAAAGTTTCACAACTTTTATCCGTGAAATTGACTTGTCTCAAAATGCCTTTCAATACAAGCAGTCCGAACAGATTTCAGTTTATAACGACGACGAAGAAGAAGGAGAGGAGGAAGAGGGTGCGTGTGGTTTTGATCCAAGCAAAATATTGGATTTTGATGTGGCCGAGGAAGCCACACCGAACGTGCGCCCCAATGCTAAGTCAGAATTTACGGAATTAAAGCAATTACATAGAAATATTGGATCAAAGGAATTAGCAGATTTGAACGATCTAGTTGATTTAAATGGACTTAAGAAGATGAATGAAAATTTTGAGCAGTTATTACTCTTGGATGACGTTAGAAAACCAGAGGCAGATGCAAAATACGTGGATTTACTTAAGGAAGAGGTGGACAAGTCATTATTATTTTTAGATGAAAAAGATAAAGCTTCTTTATCTCTCGTATCGCTTGAGTCTGTCGAACAAAATAAGGCAGTGCCGGAATTATCAGCTAAGAAAAAAAATGATTCCGACTCGTTACTATTTTTAGACATACCCAACGAACCACTTATTAATTTAGAAATTAATTAAGCGTTTGAAACATTATTATGCAATTAAGTTTACACGACTGTATTTAAAATACTGTATCTTGTAATTTTATCTAAAGTTTGAATTATCACATTACATTCCCTACGAATTGTGTAAATAAATATATTTATAAATGTTAATGATACTGTGTGGACATTTTATATTTATCAACCACCTAATTGCGATAAATGACGAATGTTTTTACATTTTACGTTTTTATTACTGCACAACCACGAAGTTTTGGACATTTGTAAAACGTATCACGTGACCGATCTAGCAGAAGACGCGTCCTCAGCGATGATTACGAAGGCAAAATCTAAAATAACGTGCGGTCGGCAGGGGCAGTTATGCATAAAAGAGAGAAAAAAAATCATATAAATTTGTACTATATATAAAGTGGGAGATAAATTTGACTTTTATTGGTTTCAATGGCAATTCAAATAACTGGAAGATAAGTTGAGCAAATTATAGAGATAAATTGCCAATGAAATTGTTAATCGTTGGCTGACAGATTTCCCTTAAAACAAAAAAAACAAAAACAAAAACAAAAAAGAAAGGAAAGACAGAGGCATTGGCACATTATATTCTTTATCCATGGGTAATACTCAAGGTTCGTGCAAAATTATTAATAACGGTCAATAACAATCTGCGCACGAGGTAATACGCAAAATCGGCTATTCCTAACACACCTAACGTTCCCTCTATTAACATTCCAAAAGAACCTCGGATCAGAAGTAATTTTGATATGCAATTTGCAACAGCGTATAAAATAATGATTGCATTGGATATTGAATTGAATCGTAAATTCAGAACACACGATACGCGCATGCACGTTATGAATCCTCGATTCTCCCCACTTTTGTTCTTGGTATCGGGATTTGTAAATCGGACTGATTTTCACTTAGAGAGCTGGAGATTATTCACCGACGGTATTCATTTTTTTTTTTAAAGCCGATTGTAATTGCTTCTCTGCGCAATTCAAACTCAACCTGACTTAACATTAATCCTGTCGCTATATATATATATATCTTTTCTGTAGTACGCGAGAAGAAATTGAAAACGATGTCGAGCCCCGTGGTGATTGCGGCTACCACAAGGCACACGGCTACGGTGAGTGAAAAAATCACTTTCTCAATGGTTTGTGAATTCGGACTTTGTTGGTTAGGTATTTTTATTGGATTATTATTGGAGCACTTTTGCTGATCGATCAACATTAAAATTGATTGTTCGTAGTTCATCGTACATAGTTCATACTTCCGAGGCTCCCGTCATTCGTTTACTTGGACATTTAAGAGAGAATATTCAATGTACTATCGTTATCTTACATTTTTTTCATTCAATTTCCTCAAACTCCCTTTAAGATAATACTTTATTAATCTTGATTCTCTCATATCTCGCGAATTTCTTTTAGCATTTGTATTTAAAATTTTATGGAATATCGATTGTATTCTTATCTGTATTAAATAATTCCTTTTAGCATTTGTCTTTTAAATTCTGTGGAATGTCGATCCTATTTTTATCTATATTATAATATAAGACTATTTTAATTGCAATTCAAGCCTTTCATTTGTAAAAAATCAATTGTACACAATAACGAGGTGATTGTTTTAATTTATAAAATTTGACATATTTATTGAGTGTAATGTGATCAAAGAATTATCGATTTCAAAGTGTACGAGTAATATTTTTCGTTTAAAATTTCGTTAATATTGATTCGCTTATTTATATACCTAAATGTATTGATTCGTCGATATGAATTAAATATGTGTTGTGTCAATTACATGCTTAAAATTTTATTTGCACAAATCAGGTTACTACATTTATCTTACTATATATTTCAGCTTATTTTTCTTCATGGACTTGGGGACACAGGGTAAGCATAGAAAACAGTTACGTATACATGGATGTGCTGGATCGTGTGTTGACGCTTTGTATGACTGAAATGGGGCATATATGTTTTTCAATTATTTTATATACTCTCCGACTATATTGATATTGTATCAATTTTTCTTGTCAATTTAGACATGGCTGGGCTAGTTCATTGGGCTCCTTACGGCCAGCACACGTTAAAGTTATCTGTCCAACTGCGTAAGTGCCAAAAATTTCTTAATATAACATAATTTCTTATCTTATAACTTATATTAAAAAGTCGTTTATTTTAGACCGACGATGCCAGTTACATTAAATCAAGGCTTTAGAATGCCGTCATGGTAAATATTTTGCTTTTACCGCATATGTTTGGTCATGTTCGTTTTAACGGTACGATTACTAATTCCTGGTACAAATAAATAGGTTCGATCTACGGTCATTGGATGACAGTGGTCCAGAAGACGAAGAAAGCATACGCAAGGCAGCTGATATTGTGCATTCCTTAATTGCAAGTGAGGTAGCAGGTGGAATATCAACCGAAAGGATTGTCCTTGCTGGGTTTAGCCAAGGTGGAGCATTAGCTTTGTTTAGCGCTCTTACATTTCCCCAACCATTAGCAGGAATTATCGCTTTATCAACTTGGCTCCCTCTCCGTGCAAAGTTTCCACAAGTAATAACTTTAAAACTGATTTCTATTTGGAAATCATCTTAAATCCTCTATAACGCTTAAAAAAAAAAAATTTTATTTTAGGAAGCGGTAGGTAATAGAAATACACCTGTTTTACAATGCCACGGAAACTGCGATCCACTTGTTCCGTATAAGTGGGGACAAGCAACTTCAACTTTACTGAAGCAGTTTATGACTCAAATTGAGTTTAAAACATACGAAGGAGTTTCACATGCATCATGTGACGAGGTGATAAATTAGCTTATGAACTCAAATTACTAAACCTACCTTTATACTCCATATAAATATTGAAAATATTTATGAATAATTTTATTTTAGGAATTGCAAGATATAAAGGAATTTATTGAAAAGGTATTGAAACATTAATAGAATAAATTTAACTGCATTCATAATTTAACTATCGACCTTATTACTCAAGTTAAAAATTTTAAGCAACATGATTCCAGAATTAAGTTAATTGAATGTTAATGTTAGCAAAGAATCGAGCTGCATAAGTTACATGAATATATCATCAATTGAAGAAAACACGGTGTAGAAATGAGCAGTAAAAAAACACACTTTCTTCAAAGATGTTTTATTATTGTCCTGCTCTCCAAAAAACAAAAAAACAAAACAAAACAAAACAAAATACAAAAAAAAAAATCAAACAAAAACACACCATTCTAATATGTAAATTGAAACGCTATAACTGTCAATAGAGACAAACAAATAGAGATTAATTTATTAGTTCTAAATAAACGACACACTCACTCAACTACCGTAATAGTTTAGAATGGCAAAATATTTTTGTATTTTATGAATATATTAAGTAACTCGTTTGCATTGCACAAGATTTTGGAAGTCCAAAGTTAATTTGATGAATCGATGAAGAACAACAGAGCCAGTTATGGTATAATTTTTGTCTTTTATTTTTGCGATTTCCTCGTTACATTCAAAACATACAATTTTTATATTCTACAAGTTAGTTTTGATGAAGAAAATGCTGTGCGTCTACAGCTCACGCCCATAACGTAATGCAACAGGCGCAAAACACTAATGTTGGTTAATCCGCTGCTGCATATTGTAAATGTACAAAGCTCACGATCTTGCGCTCTTAAGGTAGGACTAGGATCGTACATTTATGTGACATGTCGTCGTTTTACCAAAAGATAAAATCTCTCGAGCTTTTTAAACTCCCAATGTTACTACAAACGGTATATCTTTTATTCGATACTTTCGATAAAAATTCAATCGCAATAACGATAGCTCATAAAATCTTTTCTAAAATTTTCATCTTAAACAGTTTATTTCCTTTATATAACATAAATGGCGGCGAGGTGTGCATAGTATTATCAGTAGTCTATAATAATTGTACAAAAGTTACTATTCGTTTAAACATGAATGAATGTCCAGTCCTTCCCTTATATGTATCTAATGCGCTATCTTATCTATTAGATTTTTCTTCTGGGACTACGATTAATGTTATGTTTAATATTATAAACGACGGTTATTCTGTAAAGTTAGCGTCGCCCTTTAACGGACTTCAACTTTTTTTTAATTCGTTGTACGAAACGCTTAAGGCGGTCAATTAAGTTCTACGGTTTTGGCACTTGGAAAATACATATGAAATTGCACTAGTGGTACAGTACGGGCCACCTGCACTATGAATTAAATTAGCCAATCGCGCTTCTTACATTGTGACACTCGTTCTTATCTGGACTTCTAAAAATTCTTTTTCTATATTTATTATCAATTTTTATCGTTTCAATAACTTGAGCTTGAGAGCACAATTTGATGATAACAGTTCGTATGCGTACGTCGTCTTTAAGGATGAACAAAAAAAAAACAAAAACAAAATAAAAAAAGAAAGAAAGAAAAAAACAATCTGCTAGCAAAGAAAAAGAAATAAATCGCTTTGGCAAATCGCTTTCGCGGAGTAAAGCGATGCAAAACTGCAGATGTCGGCGCAGGATTGTACAAAGATACACAAGTTTTATCTAACGCAAGATAATATTGCTTTTAAGCAAATTCAGTGTAAACTGTTAACAATCAAAAACATTTAATTCTTTAAGGCCATTGTTAATCTATTTTCTTCTGTATTTAATAATAAATTATTTGTTGCTGTTTATTGTTTATAAACAGATATAAACAAGTTGGAAAAAAAAACAATAAATATAATTTTATAATTTGTATTGCAAAAATATAACCAGGTTGAATCCCAGAGGTCTTATTCTTCTATTATTATTCGTGACGGATTTATATAAAATAAACGATAGCATTGTAATCGGATTTCGCCTAATCAAACGTATGCGGCTGAATTCGATTTGACCACCGAACGAACGGTCGTTACGTATTTGAAATTTGGAACTGGTGGACTAATTTAGGTAATAATGGACGCGATATTGCCATCGTTGTCTTATCAATGTTTGCTATGAAATGTAATCTCAGCTCGGAGATAATAAGCCATGAATGCAATAATCCGTTGAATCGCCATTTTAATGAAACTTTGATGATCGATGATCGATGAAGAATAGTTTTTCTTTAATTTTTTAATCGTTCTTTCAACGCGGTTTAAAGCTTTGATTAAAGCGTTGATTTTGCTTTACACACAATACGATCATAAAATATGAGATGTGATCCGCGAGGAATTGAAATGAATCGAAGAGCGATTTACAGGGCGAAAAAACTTTGATGATTAATCAATACGAACTATTCGATGTGCTGCTGAATGAAAATTTCTAATCAACAGATATTGCAGATGAGTGTGAGAAAAAAAATTAATCGATCCACAAACGTGTATTTTAAAGAAGAAGAAGAAGAAGCAAAAAAAAAAGAAAAAAAAACGTGATCGCTTGAAACAGTTTTATCCAGAGTATGGCATTGGTATTATTGGTATTGTAAGTAACTTTATGGTAATGTCGATCGGCTTTTGAATTTTATACTTTGATTTGTTGTCGCGAAGTAATTGTTACAAGCATTTATTAACCTTGCACGTATTATATAAACGATTCTTGTTTAAAAAAATCTAATTTAGAGTTATTAGTGAGGATACTTTTTATACATTGTTTTTCAAAAACATAATGTCCATTTGCCAATATAAACTATTTCGTTTGGAAGATGTTTGACAACCGTAATGAGCGTGCAAAGTTACATTAGCATCGGTGAGTAACAGTTTGTATGTTAAACGTGTTGGATAAGTGAGGAACACTCGGTTGTAAGATTACCATATAATCGAGCATACCTTGCGATTTTGATAAGGGATCGTCGTGTGGGATCTTATCGCTAAATCGCGATATATAACATTGATCATTGAGCTCGCCAACACACTCCGTACGTGCGTGCGGTTTGCATTCGTGGAAAACAAGACGTTAGGTGAGAAAAATAAAAACATAAACAAAAAGTGGGTTTCGTTAGAGAAAGAATACTCTACTCTCTACAATTACTCTAAGCAGCTTTTATTAGCCCCCACCTGCCCCACCCATCCCTCACCCGGCACTTCACATCCCACATCCCCGAATGTTGTTTCGAAAGGCAGCGAATGGCAAAACAATGTTGGCTTGCGTGTGGTATAAATGAAGAAGAGAGCCGTGGTGAAGATCGGGGTCTGTTGGACGATGGGCGATGCAATTCGGGGGGAGGAAGGATCGGGTGGGCCGTTTAAACTAAGCCAAAATCGGTGTGGACTGTGACGTCACAGTTATTCGGCTTCTCGGCGGCGGCCATGTTGACCTCGACAAGGGTGTCGACGCTGTTCAAGGGACAGCCCTTGAGAATCTTCTGGGCGGCGAGGCTCGTGAATTGCACTTGCATGTCGCTTAGACTAGGATAAGAGTAGAGGTCGGCCCTGCTCATGGTTTTTTCGAGGTTCGGCTCCGAGCCTTGGACCGCTCGCTGCTTCGCGCTCTCGAGGTTCTCGATGTAGACATTGTTAAAAGAGCCGCCGAAGCCGTCGTAGGATTTAGTCGGTGAGGGCGGATTCGAGGTGACGTTGTTCTTGGAGCCCGGCCGTAGAAGATTCCGATAGCTGAGTGCGTCCTTGGACAGGGACAGGCTGAGCTTGCGCGAGTTGTTCATGGCGTCGTTGGTCTCCTTGCTCGAGCCGTCGATAAGGTGAGCTTGGCTGTTGTTGAGTCGGTTGTTGGTCAATTTCAGCTTATTCGAGAGCTCCTCCTCGACCTGCTTCTTCGGCTTGTTCTCCTTGTCGGACTCGGAGAGGGGCGCCGGCCTTGTCTCCTTGGATGCGTACAGTGAGGAGGGCCGCTCGGGCTTGCCGCTCTTCTCTGACCTGGGGAACCTTTCCTCGATTACCGGCTCCGTCACTGGCTTCTTGCCCTCCTTGTCCTTATTGCCGTAGGCCTCCTTCTCGTGCTTCTCCTGCTGCTTGTCGAGCTTCTCCTGGTTCTTCTCCTTCTGGACCTCGTCAGCCTTGCTGGCTTTGCCGCTTTTGCTCGTCGTGCCGTTCTCGAACGTGATGACCGAGCGCATCGGCGAGTTGTTCTGGTGGACGTAGATCTTGGTACCCGGCGAGCCGGAGATGGTCGTCGTGCTCGAGGCATTCGAGGCCAGGGTCACGCTGCTTTGGACACTGGAGGCGCGTTGCTCCTGTGAGGGGCTCAGGTTCGTCGAGACCTGGAGGGTTATCGAGTTCTGGGCTTGCTGGAGGGGCGTAAGGGCGCCCTGCTGGATTACTTTGAGGGGCGAGGAGCTGGTTGAGAAGCTCGTCGTTTTGAGGGGCGAAGACGATAGTCGGCTGCTGGACGTCGATTTGCCGCTCGAGTGGCTCGAGTGGTTAGATGATGACTTTTGTAGGGCCTAGGAGAAACGTTTTTTTGCTATTAAAATGATATGGTTAGTGAATTTTATTGCCTGGCGTTTCGATGTCGATTGGCTGGATGAGAACATTTCGATGAAAGGATAAAATCCTTCGTCTTTTCATTTTGGGATCGGGATGACGGATGGTTGGGATGATAAGGGGATGGGCTGGACAGAGAATGACATCTTATGCGCATTTGTTTACAATAGCTTATTAAAGGAAAACTTTTTTTATGCATCGAGAGTTTAGCGAGCGTTACACTAGATCGATGATCAACGCATACAATCGCTCGTGTGCGTAGTATATATTTGAAAAATTATTGAACTTTACGGTTGATCTTACCGCATAATATACCCATTTTTATTTATCAAAAGTTTGTCAAAAGAACCGATTCCAATGTGGTTTACACTCGTTATTATGCTTTAATAATGTGACGAATAACGATTGTAGCATAAATACGAAATTAATTTTTAATTTTCCAAATTAATGACATAAATGGCTTGATTATTGTTAAATTGATATTTTTGGAAGAAAGCAAAGAAATGAAGGAAAGAAAAAAAAGAAAGAAACTAAGTTGCTCACATAATCGCGATTTCGTAATATCCTTGTCGAATCGAACATTAACAATTTTCTATTATGAAATATATCATTTACGTTTAATAACGCTTTTTAATAAACGTAATAGAAAGAAATTTTACTTGATTGTATAAAAGACATGTATGTATAAAGTAAAATATTCCTAAAAGTCGTATATTGTCGGACTTTACGTAATGAAAACTGTCATTGTACATTTATTTATTAAGCCTCAATATCAATTCTCAATTTGTCTACATTTCCCATAATCCACGATTACCCTACGGTGCTCGTAAAGTATTTAAAAATTTTTATAATTTTCGCGCACATCATGCTCTAATGTAATTGTCATTGATATAACGTTTATGTTGAGAAGGCCCAAGCGTCATCAGCATGTGATGTTTGATAACTTGATTCCAGGAACTCACTCACTAAAATCTCTCTCATAAATATATACCATTTAATTGCGAAATATTTTGTTTCATTTTAGTTGGTCGTGGCTGGTGAAATGTCATGCAAACTATTATTATTTACGACGATTCCTGTACAATACACATATAGCCAGTCTAATGTTTATTCGATAGAATTGGTTGGGGAACAATGGTCCTTTACTGTTAATTATATCAATTAGTGCAAAATGATCAGTATATCTCAAAATATGAATAAATTATATAAAAAAAAAAAAAATAGATAAAGAAAAAAGAATTACTCGACGATATGTTTTATATAAATGTGAGGATGAAACTTTTAAAAGCTTTCTTCGTTCGTTTCTATGTAGAATTTCAAAATTAATCGAGCAGCATAATTCATTCTCAAAAATATAAAATAATAATGATATATTCCAGGATATATTAAAAATTTAATTATATTTACTATCGTATCCTCAATTCACAGCTTAAGAAAACTTTCACGATTTATTATTTAGCAATTGTGGTTTATTTTATAATTCAAATAATCTTTTACGGTTCCACTATTCCCATGCGGTTTTGCCCACTATTTGTTTTATGATTGTTTTGATTATTTTGAAAGCCGCTTAAGAAATATAAATACTTAATGATCGATTTAAGCAATCGACTCGAATATAATTTTAATAGATTCCAATGACTTTTACACGAATTTAAGGGATTCATTTGATGTTTACGATCTTGATGGCCGTGCGAAGTTTACAAGTGATTATTTAAATAGAGTAGCTACCGTACGTAAGTGAATCAAATCTCCTCGTATGACATAACTCGTCCACTTTAAATTTCAACACACAATTTCTTAACAGAAATAAATATGTTTGTCTTTTTTTTTAAATGGTTGTTCATCTTCATTTTCATCATCTTTATCTTTATCTTCATCATCATCATCATCATCATCATCATCATCATCATCATCATCATCATCATCATCATCTTCTTCTTCTTCTTCTTCTTCTTCTCATGGTTCTTCTTCTCCTTCTTCTCCTGGTTCTTCATCTCCTGCACCTCCTCCACCTTTTTCTTCTTCTTTCTCTTTCGTCTCTATTTCTTTTCTCGATCTTTTTCTCTTCCTTTTATTCTTTTCTTTTCTTTTTTTTGCATATATTTGTCAGCTCGTATTACGTATTTTTATAACTTAGCTAATAGGATACGTAATTTAAGAATCCTACAAGGCATAAAAGTTTTTGTAAAATCCGTGACAAACCAATGCGCACGGTCACACGAAGTAACAAGAATTTTCTTGATGATATTCGAAGTAAATTGCGCAACGCGATTTCAGTATTATACAATTGATAAAAACCTAACGAGTCTCGAATGTCAACGACACTTACGAGTGTAATGCTTCTCTTTCAATAACCGTGACAAGGAATATTTTTAAGGCTCACGTAGAATGGCGATCGAGAGTATCTTTCGTCAACACGTATAAAATTCAACGTGCCTTTTACAATTTTGAACATTCTAGATGCGTACCATTTATTTATCTATTCATTCTTTCTTTATCTTCATCTTCATCATCTTCTTCTTATTTTTCTTCTTCTTCTTGTTCTTGTTCTTCTTGTTCTTTTTCCTCTATCGTTGGTCCTCACAAAATCTAATCACGTATTTGGTGATTAGGTTAGGCAGTAAAACTTGTTCTCAAATTGCCTCTAACCCGTCAATTATTATTATTATTATTATTACTATTATTATTATTATTATTATTATCATTATTATTATCATTATCATTATTATTATTATTATTATTATTATTATTATTATTATTATTATTCACATATGAAAAGTGTTAACGTGCAAATGGTTGTACAATCTACATCTTAATGATAGAGAATACATGAGTTTCTTGAAAAATCTCGCATGTCCGTAACATGAAAGCACAAATTGCCCGTAGTTCTCGTAAGAAGAATAAAGTCCATGGATATAAGCAACAAATTTTTTTAGTCCTCGCTGTACATTCCCGTAAATAATGATGTCGCGCAAGGGCGTCGGCACCGGCAAGCTTTTCCGTGATTTAAAACGTACAAGAAAAGCCTACGCGTCTCTTCCGCGCCCAAACCTCCACGCGTACGTGCCCCCAAATAGCTGGGCAACGAATAGGGGGCCGAGGAAGGATACCTTGTGCTGGGGCGAGCTGCTGGCGGACTTGCTGCCGCCGCTGGAGAGGTCGTGGCTCGGCCTCCTGGATGAGTGCCGCGAGCTCTGCAGCCTGCCGAAATGGGCCGCGTTCTTGGCCGGGCCGGGGTTCGCCGCCCTGACCGAGCCAAAGCTGCCGCCACTCCTGCTGGGCGAGGAGTTGGTCGAGTTCTTGCCGTTGGTGGTCGGCTGCCCGTTGCTGGACGGTACGACCGAGGCCCTCGAGGTGCACCTGCTCAGGCTCGAGCACTTGGAGCGCGGTAGGGTCGAGCACGGCGAGCGGTGTCTCCTCGAGCTCCTCGGTGTCGAGTTCGCGAGGAGACTCGAGGAGTCGCCGCTCGGCTGACGCCGATGCCTACGAGGCAACGTCGCCGACCTTACCGAGCTCGAGTCGTCCCACACTTGGAAACTGGTCTGCGACTGCTCCAGTCCCTCCATCATCTGTCGGTGAGCCAGGCTTGGTTGATGGCTGAGTTTGGTAGATGAGGAGTCGGTGAGGTGTCGCTGAGGAGTTGGTGAGGAGTCGGTGAGGCGATGATGGGGGAGGTGGTGCGTTCGTGGATAATGAAGGGGCGATGATAGAGTAGAGGAGCCAGGAACGCAATCCCGGTTTATCGATTGCTCGCGTCGTTCGTTACTTGCCATTTCGCTTTTACGTAAGTCCACACACGCAATACCCTCTCTTCCCTGCTCTCGCTCTCACTTTCCGCTTTATCGCGACAAAATTCGCCATTGGGGAGCTTTGTCGTGTAAAGAGCGAAATAATATAGGTCGAGCGAGAGCGGACGAGAGCACGGCTGGGTGATTAAGGAGACTGATGGTTGGGTGCGGTGTGTTAGTGCCGAGGGGGTGGGCGATCAGGGGTGAGGAAATGGGGAGGTAACAACGGCGCAGCTTTCGTTTTCACCGCCGCGATCATTTTCTAATATGAGAGATAGGAACGAGCCCACGGGATAGTTGGCCGGCTAATATCGTTATTTCATTCGCGCGTATAAATTGCATGGCAATGAAAAGCGAAATTAAAAAATTAAACAAGAAGCAAGAATGAAAGGACAGGGAGAATTTCACGCGTACGTAAAATGCTGATTGCGTGGCTGTGCGCGGGCCGACGGCGTAAACGTCAGCTAAATAGCCGGCCAAATAGAAAGTAACGAACGTACGTGGTAGGTGAGACGGATAAATAAGCGAGCGGCATACCGATGGACTGGCGGCTCGCGTCTGCGTCGCCACGCTGTGAAGATGAACGACTCGGGGATTGAACCATTCGGTTGGCGGATACTGGGCGCTGAACGTCCCCATCAGGGGTGGCCCCTTCCGCCGCGTGCTCCTCCGAAATAGTCGGGACAGCAGGCCTATCTTTTCTGAAAATATGCCGGATAGACCTTTACGCACCGGAGACTTATCGCTTAATCCTTTAATGCACGAGATGCTGTTGGGAGAAGGGATTGCGGGCTGGTTTTCTTCTTTTTTTCTTTTTTTTCTCGAAAATATGGAAATCGTCGTGGAAAATACGAGAGCGAGTCATCATTTAGATCTAAACGTCCGCGACTTTTACAGGCTACGTATCCGTACAGAGCCGGCCGGCAGCGATCGGCCATAATCGTCGGGAAATCATTGGCCGATTGCGCAAGTCCGTTCCCACTGAGCACTGAATTACCAATGCATTTATTTAAACGTGTGTGTTTCACGCCCTCGTCCTCGTCTTCGTCCCCTCGCCCCACCCTACCCCACACACACCTTCCCGCCCTGCTAACCTTTTCCCCACACCGCCCCCCCCCCATTAACGCTCGCAAAATAAGCAAATTTCTCGCTGCACGCGGTCTCGTATTTTCCATTGCAAATCGTGACGAAAAGAGATATACGGAGAGCATCATCATGGCGCAATAAAGCATATTGCGATAGGACGACGGGTGACGTGATAAATGTGCTTAAGGTGTAGCGTAATAATTCAGTGCGATACAGAGAGTGGATAATAATATGAGCTATCATCACCAAAGCCAAGCCCTTCCCCCCTTTTCAACACTCACTCGTTGGACTGTGCGGTGCGCTGTCCGTGCTGGCGTACTCCGCGCTCGAGGACGTGTCGCTCCTCTCGGGCCTCCGCGGCAGCGACCTCGAGCTCCCGCTCCGGTGGAGGCGCCTCGCCGAGCCCCAGAGACGGAGGGAATGCCTCCTCTCGAGTCGCCCCGGCACCGAGCGGCATCGTGCGAACAGAACTTTGTCGTTCGGGTTACCTGCACAAGCACATTCTTACGTTTCTAATCTTAATTCCCACTCCCCATCCACGCTTCCCATCTTTATCGTCCCGCTTATCCAAAAATCTCGGCCACCTCTTACCGCCGGCTTCTACTTGCGTGTCGGCCGCGGCGGCGACCCGCCCCCCCCCCTCTACCCACACGCACATTCACCCCCACCACCCCCAACGACCTTACCTCGCCCCTTGGCGATAAATTTGCCAAACAAATATTTTACAGACTTTCTCACGGCCGTGCGCCGCTCGCACGTCACGGCTCGTAATTCTCCTCGCCCTATGGGGATGTGAGCGCGACTCCGTACGCCACGGACGTACTCTTCCGGCCGGGCGATTCGTAAAGCGAGACGAGCATCGTCTTCCCGAGTGACTCGACCTCCCAACAGTCGCCTCCCTCGCGTTTCCCCGCTTGGCTGCCGGATTTAACTGCCCACGCGTACCGAGCCTCCATGTCTCCGAGTCCCATGACTGACCTCCGCAAATGACGTCGGCGAGATTGGTTTGGACCGCCTGGTGGGTGACGTCACCGTCCCTAAGGGTGAGCATCTCACCGTGGACGAGGGCCACGGCCTCGTCGTTGCTCATGAGCATGCCGGCCTGGGTTCGGGCGTGGCCCACGTCGCGAGAACTGCGCCGCGCACCGACGCTGTCCCGCCTCAGGCGCTGCGTCTCCGGGGTAACGATGAAGTAGCCTTGGGCCGTGTGGTAGATCTTGCGCTCTTGCATGAGCTTCGCCAGGGCATCGTAGACGAGCTCACGGCTCGGTCGCTGCATCGTCGGGAAGGTATTCTTCAAGGCCGAGCAGAGGGTGCCCAGTGTGGCTGCTTGGCGTTGCGATGTCAGCTCGAGGATCGCCCAGCAAAGGGCCTCGGGCAATGGTGTAAACTGACCCTGAGTGATCGACGTCACCTTGCATTCCTCCACGTCCCCTGCAATTGTAGACGAAGAGACGAAGGCTATTAGCACAGATGTGGGATCGTTCGTTATGGAGTGCGTCAAACGATATCGCCGCGACGCGATATTTGCTTGCACCGAACTTGTCAACGCTTTTTAACGGGAGGGGAAAGGAGGAGGGGTGGTGAAAATCCACGGATATTTTCGTTCCTCGTGCATGGGAGTGGTGTGGACGAGAGAAACGGTAAAGGTCTTCTTAAACCCATTTAGCCAGTCAAATACAGCGATGTAGCCATAGAAAATTTCTCATCTCGTAATTGTCGAGCATTGCATAACGCTTTTGGTCAGGTAGCTCCTCGCTAAAATTGAGAGGTAGTCAAAAGTCGGCTCCGTTTTTTGGGTAGGGAACACCCTGGTCCTGTCACCAATGCGATCAAAATAAATAAATCACGACACCTTCTTTCTCATCTCGTTACATCGCCGCTCTCTCTCGCGCGCGTGCGTCTTCTACATCCCGAGAATACCCGCGCAGACCGTAACGAGATTGTTTAGCAAACGATGGCTAGCGAGTGATTATAATGACCAGTCTCCGGCCAGCGATAAATCCAAAAAACAGCGACTTTATCCGATAAGCTAGTCAAATATAATAAATAGATCGATTTGGACCGGAATTGAGTGTAGCGGGAGTGTAGAGCCGTGGGCGAGAGTCGGTGTGTGTTGGAGGGTGGGTGACCGTAGGAGGGGATGGGGTAGGGTGAAGGAATGAGAGAAAGGGAGAGATAGACCTTGTTACGTAATTGTCGCGCGCGATATTCGCATTCGTTGCGTTTCGGCACGTGACTGGGATCGCGAACCCAACACCGACAACCCGTCTGTCTTCGCTCGATGCGTGTATCGGGTTCTCCGTAGACCAGTTACAGGCGTCCTCCCGTTCGCGGTGCCGCGCGCCATCGGCCAAATCGAGCGACGATGGTAAAAAGCGGGACATACGTAGTGTACGTACGTAGGCTGGACTGGGTAAGAAAGAAGCTGGATTACGGGTCGCTCGATATGCCGGCGTCGCGCTCCCGACGTGACACGAATACGCGCCCGATGGCTTTTGAAAATTCGCGAGTTTGTAGGCCCGGCGCGTGCTCCGTCCTCCGTCGACTCGAAAATAGAAGTTTGTTTCACGAGATAACGATTCTCTCCTTTATTTTATATTTTTTATTTTTTTTATTTTTTTTTTTACTTTTATTTTTATCGCTCTCCTTATTTTCTCTCTTCCCATCATTTGTCTTTTGTTCTTGCGAGCGCCGTGGTCTTGGGGCTTTTATGGCGCATTGCGCAAGGAGCGAGACATTCCGCGCGCGGAAGGTTGAAAATGACGAGACGAAACAAACGACATGAGAAAAATGAGACGAGATAATACGGAGGAAGTAAGAGGAGCGCGGAGGACGAGGACGAAGAGCCGATTGCCGCTAATTGCGTATACCGACACTCGACAAACGATGTCTATCTCTCTCTGTCTCTCTGTCTCGGATCTCAAATCTTAGATCACGAAGCAAGAAGAAGGGAAGGAGGGAGGCTTCCGAGGAGGCGATGAACCTCTTGTCGAGTTAATTTTGAATTCGCCGCTCGCCCATAATTCGCCACGTAATCCAATGGCTGAATGAAAACGAGGAAGCACAATGTGGCTGACGTATCGATCGGTGGCTCATCGCAAAATACAACGACATTACGCGTGTTGATATAATAGCGAATGCCCGGCTTTTGCAAGTGTAATTGAGGCGCGGCAGCTGGATACCAATGCGCTAGCGCGCGTGCACACACATACATCCCAGCCCCCAATATAATGGAATACACTGGGGTGTTGGTTCGACCCCCGCACGTCCGATGAAAATTCGCTCCCAATGGTCGGCTCTTGTTGTAATAATGTTGAGCGAGCTGACCTTCGCTACCTTCGCTTCTTTGTTTTCTTCTATTTAGAGCGCGGAGAACGACCGAGTGCAATGAAAAAATCCAGCCAGAGTATGGATTTACGCGTTGAGTCAAGTTCGATGGGAAGGCGAAAAATCCGTTTAAAAAGCCTGCGAAGCCAATAGGAAGAGGTAAAGACGTGGGTTAGCAGGAGAAGTCGTGAGGCAGTGCGGGAGGGGAAGGGAGAGGAGAAGGAGGAGGAGGAGGAGGAGGAAGAGGAGGAGGAGGAGTAGCGTGGCATGGGAATATGGAAAGCTCGGGGAGGAAAAGTAGGAGGAAAAGGGCTCGAAAGCGGCAAGCCGAGGGCGAATGAGTCGTAATTCAAGGCGCGCGGGTCGAGCTACGACCGATAAATACTTCTAAGCTCAAGTGGCAAAGAAGAAGGTTTCGTTCTATTTCCTATTCATTGCGCCGCGCTGCGTTCTGTGCGCCTCTCGACGTTCTCGTATATCGTATTTCATGCTTTTCGTGAGAGGAGCACCGGTGCGCGCACATAAACCAAGGGCTCGGATGAAAGAGACGGAGAGAGAGGGAGAGAGAGAGAGAGAGAGAGAGAGAGGGCGAGATAAAGAGCCTCGACGAGAATATAAAGAGCCTGTCGAGACTTTACATGTACGTACTTCGCGCTCTAGCTCTCTTTTCCTCTAACTACCCCCCTCCCCCAATCCACCAGGTTGGCCATCCCTCCCCTCCCACTACAACACCCCACCACCCCCTCTCGCACGAATATCGAATTATAGACAATTATCGCGTGGAAGGTATCGCGGCGTTATTTTTTCCCTTCCTTTTTATTTGGCCGAGGCGCCCAAGAGGAAAGATCTCGCGTCGT